ACCTTGTTAGAGTCCGGATTATGGGGGTGGAGACGTACGGAGTACCCAAGAGGTATAGGTTCTTGTATACCTTTGACCCAAGTCCCCGGGTAAAAAAAAAGAAAGGCTAGAAGGTGAAAAGAATGTTCATACGTAACCGAGACGGGATTTCACCTTTTTTGGGGATCCGTAATGACTCTTTTTGTTTAGCGTATCTCCACCCCCTATGATGGAGCCCATCGTAAACAACTTCTAATTTTTTTTTCTTGATCGGCGTAGAGCGTCATGAGACAAAGACGACGGGAATGACAAAATTGCGATATGTACTCTGTATGGACTTCTGATGTATGTGTTTCTAAATACGGGAATGGGGAATGATTCAAAGAGTTCCGAAACCAGAGGAGTTTGCGACTGGTCTTAATAGGTGAGTATTGCACGGGAGACCGCGTGAAAGACCGGATGACTGGCCTTAATCAGTAGCCGAAAATGATCATGGTTGGCTAGGGGATTTACCTAGGCATCATATGTCATCCTTAATGATTGTTGCTTCTTTTCCTAATATACTGTAGGAAACTATCACACCCGATGGAGCCCGACCACGCGAGAAAAAAAAGACTAAAAAAATTTAAATAAGTTCGGAGGGATCCGTTTCTCGTTCCTGCGGCTGTTTTTCCCTTTTTTTACTCCACTTATGCACAAAGGCTGCCCGGAGATTTGGTTCCTAGCTTCAAAGTGGAGAGCTTCTACGGTTGATACATAACAGAGGACTTTTGGACTTGAAGACAGATGTATCTCAGATGTATCTCAGATATGATTGTGATGAATCAGAGTGTACCTTTTTGTCTCTTTCTTTTCTTTTTTTTCTTTTTGTCCTAAAATTATATATCTAAAAATCTACTAAAATAAGTAAGCTTATAGATTAGGAACGTTAGAGAAGAAAGGGGGGAACATTCGCGTTCCTGTTCCCCGGGACCAGGGGACGGGAGAGCCGCTGTACTAAACAAAGAAAAAAATATACTAAGATTTTTTTTGAATTTGTTGGGTTTTTTTTAAAAGAGTATTTAAGTATTTATTGTATATTTGGATTTCCAATTTGATAATTGGTTTTTTTTATTGGTTTTTATAAAAAGGATAAATTTAATAAAAAACACCCCAATAAGAAACGTCTATATCAACGCAATCCCCCCTTCTTGTTTCCTTCGAACATACCTGATAACCATCTTTCTCCCCTACCTCCTTTCCTCTCCCTTCTCCCTTGCGATACGTCGATTTGAACTTTGTCCGGATCGACCGGAGCCAGTTCCGGACTCCTTTGCTCCCTTGCCGTCTAAACTTCATATCCCTTCTGCCCGTTTTCTTGGTTCGGATCGCGATTTTTTTATGGGTTCGCTGCAGCCACCCTCGCGCATATCATTTTGAGAGAATTTCGATTTTCCTTGATTTATTTCCGATCTCCTCATAAAAAGCAACGAGCTTCGACCTGTGCTTTTCCTCACACCAATTCTCATTTGTTGGCGCTCCCATTTCGTCACATTCCTGCCCTACGATTCTGTTGGATCCCGCATCCTGGTTATTCTTCAAAAGGACCACCTTTTCCGATCCCGACTGCATTTGCATCTATCGCCTGCACCGCCGGTTTTTGTCTAGACCTTCTTTTTTTTTTTAAATTTGATTTTTTTTCTTTTCCCACGGGTGGTTGGATTGGGACTTCGTTTGCTTCCCCCAAGGAAATATCTATATAAGATCCTGGCGTCGACGTCGTGTTTATTTGGTAAGTCTTCTACCATCTCATTCCTCACCCTGTCGTTGGCACATTCAAGAACTCGCCTATTCCTATCAATCCTACTTTCAGCATCTAACCATGACTTCCTCTGCAGACCTTAACATGATCCTTCGGGATCAATCTGCTTTTAACATGGGAAGAGGAGCTTATGACACAACTGGGGTGAAGAAGCCTGGCGTTCCTCCTCCACCACCGAAATAAATTCAGTCGGAACCCTCGTCATACTCAACATTGCTTTCTACACCACTCGGTCATGTTTCGGATGGTCTGGCGCCCAACAGTGGCTGGAGTTTTTGACGCATATGCGTTTTGGAGTTTTACTTGATTTTGGTAAGACACACTCCGAGCACACCTTTGGGCATCAAAAACTGACCGAATTCTTTAGATATCTGTAACACTATCTTTTTCCTTTGTCCCGGTCTCGGGCCATACATTTTTGCCTATTTCGCAGGCATCGCGCGACATTATACCCTTTTTAATTTGGCTCGACTTTTCTGCATTTTCTTTTCGGATACCAAGCGTTGACACTTTTTCCTTTCGACTTTTGATCTCTCGTCTTCGCACATGCGCATTATCCTTATTTTTCGGGCCTCGAACCTTATTCCGCCTCACCTCACGTTTCTACTTCACCTCTTGATACGACTCGATACCACGGTCCCATCTCTCTCAAAAAGTGCCTTTGTGTTTATTTGTTTTATTTTCTTTTGTTTACCGGCGTTTTGGTATAGACGGGACGGAATACTGAATGGGATGGGCTGATACCAGAACCTAGAGCCTAGACCTCGCGGTCAAATAGCATGCTTTGATTGCTTTTCTTGTTTTACTATTGGATGGGTACAGCTTCTGGGTTTATCTGTATGAGTATTTGTGCTTTTACATTTTGACGTTGATGCCTGTGTATTATATTTTGCGCACAAAACCATAATTGTCAGCGCCAATGGATTTTTTTACCTATACATTCTCCAACCAGCTAGTCTAGACCACCATTGACGGCTTCATGTACATTTATAGATCCTGTAACCTCGAGTTTACAAACTTGGCATTTCAGGTCGTACTCCGCTTGTACCTGACCGACCGCGGTTGCGCTAACATCGGGCAGATTTGCTTACCGACTAATGCCGAGTCAGGAACGCCAGCCCGATTGTTGATGCGGGCCTGGCTGGTGCATCGGCATATATCTCCCGAGCCTGACTAGGATCTTTCCTAACTGGCACCCGACATCACCTTGCAGGCCAGTTGGGCACTAGCCTAATCTGCGACAGCTGTCAAGGTGTCAGGAACAGGTTTGTCTCGTGTTAGCCTACCTTTTATCGAGTCATAGTACGTGTCTTCGGGTTCACCGTTTCCAAATGATCATATCCCGGTAGCCATGTCCGTGTTATCTGCATGCCATCATTGGTGCAGTGTATCCAATGATGTGAGATATCAATAAGGCGGGAGATGATTGAACATCGAATTTAGCTCTTATGTCAGTCTCTTTAAATAGATACGAAGAGGTAAATCAAGCCTCAATATTCAATATGAAGTATAGAGTCAAGAAAAGTGCCAAAACTAAGTATGTCAGTTGTATACTTCAATCTTAAAGGTTTCCGGTGACTGGTGACTGACGGACCACGCTAAGCCCAATCGAGGCACCCATCATCATCAACCTCCGCCTCTCTCCAACTTCAGGATCAATCACTCTTGTCTCGGTAACGTCTATACTACCCTTTGCATTCCTCATTCCTTGACAAGGACTTAATTACTTTACCAATACGAGCGCAACAACAGCGACTCGTGTCCCATCTCCTGTCTTACTTCTAGGCAGCCCCATTCCCCGAACTGCGGTTACCAGCTGAATCAACCTGCCACCTCATCCGGTCGCCTGATCGCCGATCGAAGGTGAACAACCTACAGAAGGCCTGATTGTTACTTTTATCTCACCGTTTCGTTGTTTCAGCCATGTCCGAGTCAGCGAGCGCAAATGCACCGAAGCCGAGCAGCAGTGTCAAGCTTGTGCTTCTAGGAGAGGCCGCAGTGGGCAAGGTACTACTCCTCCATTTGCCGGGTTACACGATCGTCAACAGCTAACCATGTCCTATTATTCGCTCATAGTCATCGCTTGTCCTCCGCTTCGTCAACGATGATTTCCAGGAGAACAAGGAACCAACCATTGGCGGTAAGATTTCCCTATGGCCTTAGCCTCCATAAGATACGAGGTACTGTCCCTGGCAGATGATATACTTTCTGGAGAATCCAGGGGCAGTATGTTGTGTCTGATATTGGACTGTTCCCCGCAAACAGGCCACCCAACCCCTCAAATAGTACTTTGCATTCGGATGACCAACTAACGTCATCTTTCCAGCCGCATTTCTGACGCAAAAATGTTCCCTTCCTACGCGCACGATCAAGTTCGAGATCTGGGATACCGCCGGCCAGGAGCGTTTCGCTTCGCTCGCCCCGATGTACTACCGTAATGCGCAAGCGGCGCTTGTTGTCTACGACGTTACGAAACCATCTTCGCTGACGAAAGCCAAGCACTGGGTCGCCGAGCTCCAGCGTCAAGCGAGCCCTGGAATTGTCATTGCCCTCGTCGGTAACAAGCTGGACTTGACCAACGACGGCGGAGATGTTTCCGATGCCGCCGTCGCTGCACAGAGCGAATCCGAGTCAGCCCAGGATGGCGAGGAAGGTGCCAACGAGGAAGATGATGTGCAGGATGCCGTGTCCGGTGATGCCCGCAAGGTATCAACAAGGGAGGCTACCGGCTATGCGGAGGAGGAAGGTCTTTTGTTCTTCGAGACCAGCGCCAAGACCGGAACCAACGTTGTGGATGTCTTCACGGCAATTGCCAATGCCATCCCCGAGAGCAGTTTGAAGACTGGTCGCAATACCGGTGCAGGAACTGGCCAGACTTCATTGGGTCGGTCAGCAGAAGAGTCACGGGTCAACCTGGGTGATCGTAACGCTGCCACAGCCAAGGAGGGCTGCGCTTGCTGATTTGGGTCCTTTCTTTTTGGGCAGATGTTCTTGCAATTATTTCCATGGATACAGGCGTCCCTCTTGCTTTTTTTTTTGTGATTTCTTGCTTGTTCCCGACTCCAACGGAGACTTCCGTGTGGTCTTATAGTCTACAGTGTGCTATTCCCCGAGAGACACCTCGTTTTGACAATGTGATTAGAGTGTAAATTTTTTCGAAATTGACATTAGGAATCAGAAATAATCTTCGTACCTACATAACAGTGAAGAGTAGAACAATATGGCCAGAAAAAGGTCCTGGGGTAGTTGTCAACCAAAGGCGAGTCGGATAGTGGATCTCCTTCAGCGGCAATCCACCAATCAGCAACGAGCCCTAAGACGGCCACACTAAACCCAACAAGGAAATAGCGCACCCTAAGCGAATGCGCCGATCCCACAGCAAATTCCCATTCGATTCAATCTGCGAACCTCCCCTCCGTCGACATCACCACCAGCACTTCCCGCAGCACCCCGTCGCTCGCAATAATGGCTGCCATCAACAAGATCGCCCCCAACTCGCCGTCCCGGCAGAACCCCTCCGAGCTGGAGACCGCGATCGCCGGCGCTCTCTTCGACCTCGAGAGCAACACACAGGACCTGAAGGCCAGCCTTCGTCCCCTGCAGTTCGTCTCTGCCCGCGAGGTAAGAATTGTTGTCCGAGGCTCCCGAAATGCGAATTGAATCGTTCTGGAATGGCGTCTGTGAATTTTCGAGGGATTTTCGATGCTCCGGGGTATATTGGTTGGATTTGTGGATTGATCTCAATTCATGTCCACCAACGCCAATAATCATCAACATGGAGAAGAATCATCAGCAACGGAGGCAACATACAAATGGATATGAAAATTCGCAGAGCAAGACGCCGTTCCAGGAGGAATTTCAGTTTCTGTGTGCAACGACACTTTCAACCGGACAACGATCTGACATTATTCTCGCTATCTAGGTTGAGGTCGGTCACGGCAAGAAGGCCATCATTGTCTTCGTCCCCGTCCCCCTCCTGACCAACTTCCACAAGATCCAGCAGCGGTAAGCAACCAGTCCTTCCAACGCCAATGGGCCAGCCCTTCCCCCCAAAAAAAATGGCACCCCTCAACAAATAACAAACCTGAAAACTAACACCAACCCCAGTCTTACCCGCGAGCTTGAGAAGAAGTTCTCCGACCGCCACGTCCTCTTCGTGGCCCAGCGCCGCATCCTGCCCCGCCCCAAGCGCTCCGCCAACTCGCGCACCACCCAGACCCAGAAGCGTCCCCGTTCGCGCACTCTGACCGCTGTCCACGACGCCATTCTCTCCGACCTCGTCTACCCCGTCGAGATCGTCGGCAAGCGCACCCGCACCAAGGAGGACGGCTCCAAGACCCTCAAGGTCATTCTCGACGAGAAGGAGCGTGGTGGTGTCGACCACCGCCTCGATGCCTACGGCGAGGTCTACCGCCGCCTCACCGGCCGTGCCGTTGCCTTCGAGTTCCCCCAGAGCGGCGCTGAGTTCTAAATGCATAATTTAGAATTCATTGTTCACTTTGATTTTTTTGGGGCTAGGGGCTTGGAATGTGCTCGGTTGATGCGTGGGAGAATGGCATTGTTTCTAGTTTTGAATTGTTGCTAGATTCAACGCCATTGATGGGTTCCAAAGAGATGATCTCCATAAAAATGCATTGACGGTTTTTTCTCTTTTCTTTTTTTGCCCCCAGTCACTGGTTGCATTTGTGTCCGGTGTGAGCTCTGGGTGAGGCGATGGAGTTGAGTTCTATCTCTCTCCCGATCTAATGAGGGTGGGATGGAATATCCGATAGTGTTCCAATTCAACAATTCCAACTTTACATTGCTTCTTTCTTAGATGGTTCTGTCTGGCTGGGATTGGGATCTAGACTGTGTAGATTATAGGATTGATTGCCCGTGGACAGTCAGATATAATGCTTGATATATCTCCATCCTCAAGTCAAGTAGCTTACATCCTGCTATTACGCTTGGCAGTATCAAATCGAAAGCTCACTGTATATTACTATGTGGATGCTTCTATCAACGGAAAAAAAAAACAAGTACACTCGGGGTATGAACGGTACAAAACGCAAACCAGTCAACGCGTATATGAACAAGACGATGACATACTCTATCTACAACGAAGGCTGAATTCTCCCCACACCAAGCACCATCCAATAAGCTAACTCCCTGGTAACCTTATCATCCGGCTTAGACCCCTTCCCAACATTCTGCTGATCAAGCTGCGCATCCGCATCCCAATCCATATGCACGAAAACCGGAATTTCAAGCACATCCTCATCCTGCTTGGAAGCCGCAACCGCCACGACATCCTCGTCATTAGTCTCAGTATTTGGATTGCCATCACCACCTTCAGCACTACTCCCAGGCAATGTACCAGGGACAACCTCCAACACGACGGTCGTCCAGTTCCGGCCTTTATCCCACACCTTGCCTGCCTCAGGGACTCCGCGTAGAACGGCAGAGCGAGAGTCACTCGTTAAGGGCGCAGAGGCACCCTGCAACGCTTCGTCCCAGACATCGCTGTTCGCGCCAATTTCGAACTGCGGAGAGAGAACTGTGACCTTCGTTGCAACGTGGCCTGGTGTTACGGGGGGTGTGGCGAGTGTTATGCGGACTGGGTCGAACATGTGGTTTTTAAGGGTAAGAAGAACGTGGATTGGGCGTAGGGGTGGGAGGGAGTTGAGGTCGGTAGTTGGGGCCATGGCTGGGAGGGCTGATGAAGAAGAAAGGGCTAGAGGGCGGAGGGTTGGGAGGGGGATGTAGCTGAGAGCAATTAGGCGGATGCGGAAGCGAGTAGATTGCGGCTTGGTCTCCGGTTTCACGAGGATGTGCTTGCAGGACTTGCAGCGCTTGGATCGCTTGGTGCGGAGGAGGACTGGGAGTGGGAGGAGATCGTCGACGAAGCGAGCTTCCGGTGATTGGGTTGTGCGCTGGTCTATCGAGGCCATACCATCCCAACCACATTCTGGAGACTGAAGTCGTGCAATCATGTCCGTCTCGTTGTTTTCTGGGGCGACCTGAAGGCCCTCGCTTGCGGTCAAGGCTTCGCGCATAACAGGTGGCTTCGATTTGGGCTTCTGTTTGCCACCATACAGCCCGCTTAGCCGTGACGAGGATGTGTAGAGAGACATGAGACGGTTTAGTGCGCCGGGTGAAGAGAACCCAAATTCCGAGCTAAGATGATCATTTGGCGAGTTTGATGTCTCAGCGATCTGTGTACGGTAAAAGCTTTTCAGAGCGGCGAACCGGGCATCTGTGCCCATTGGGGGTGCAAGCGGGTCTTCTTTTGGTGCAGCTTGCTCTCCATCACGCTCGCGCGCATTGGACGACTCGTCAATCGAGGCGTAGCTAGACAACGGATGTTTCAGATCTCCAAATGCGCGAGAGCCTTGCCTCGAGCGGTCGAAGGCAGCCGGGGCAGTGGAATCTGTCATCTTTTGCAGTTGACTGCGGATATTTGTCGGCTTGTCGAATTTGATGCCGATATCTAACGTCGTCCAAAGACAGTATCCGCAAGACAACACCCACGGACCCTGTTGAGGCCCGTTCCCTGTAGCATTATCAATGGTACTCACAGCCAGCGGAGCTGTGCATACAGGACAATTGAAGCAATTTCGGCCACATCTATAGATATGCGTGAATTAGCGGATGCTCGAACACAACCATTCACACCCTCTATACACACCGATTACCATCACTCCGCACCATACTGCTCGGGGTTTCGAACAAGCAGCTAGGACAATACCAGCTCACAATTTCCTCCGTAATACATCGGGAGCATTTGATCTGATGACACTCCTCGCAGTAGAGAAGCTGTTCAGGCGGATACAGCGAGAAGTTGGACCGTGGAGAGCGGGGATCAAACGTTTGCTCTTCGTCCTCATCCTCTCCTTCTTGTTCCTCTTTTGCTGACAATTTCTTGTCTTGGTCTGTATTCGCCCACTCGGGTGGTGGTTTATGCGGTGATTTCTGCGGGGACTCCCTCGACTTCCGCTTCCTCGCTGGATCGGGGACCGGTGTGTCGGCGCAGGGGCATGAAATGTAGGTATATGGGAAAGGACGCGACATTTTGATATCGACCTAGGGGACCGAGCGAGATGGTGTGTGGTAGCTTTCGAGATGTGTACTTGGATCAAATCATGCTTCGTCTCTGTGGGTTCGAGGGCTCAATGATGTGAGTAAACAAATGAAGTAACTGCAACTTCGCAGCTATTAGATGGCTTGTCTATTCTAGTAAAAAATATCTTAATTTCCAGGATCCCAAGCTTGTTGCGCCAAATCAGAGACCCTGAGAGGGGCGTGTTGGCGCGTGGGGACTTACTCGAGCAGTTGCAATTGTTCTGTCACGCTCAATGCACTGTGCACGATATGTACAGTTCAGGAGTACGAACTGACACCAGGGCAAGTGTCTCGGAAACACCAATTGCAGGAAGTCCACGGTCTGCGGAGAGGGAGCTCTTCCGCATCAACAATCGACGTCAGATCCCGCCATTTTCTGCCCGCCATCGCCGCAAAACCATGGACTTGCAAGCTTGAGGGTTTAGACACCTCCATATCCATTATACAGCCACAATGATATCTCTCCCGACATTTCGTGCCAGCCTCTCAAGGCGATGCTTTGCTCCAACAATTACTATTCGAAAATATGCCAGCCAGACGCCCGGCAACCCAATGCTTGAAGTCTTCAACCGCAAAGTCAAGCACCTCCAAAAAGATCGGGCAGCCCGGAATGTCGAAGAGAGTCGGAAAGTCGACTACCTGAAAGATGAAGTAGCAATGCGGCTATGTGAGCGCTTACTGGTAAGCCATTCAACGAAGAAATCGCATTAAAAAGCGCAGAACTAGCAAAAAGACACATTCACTAACCAGAGCTTCTCTCATCATGAATAGGACATTAAACGCGACTTCCCAAACGTCCTAGATCTAGGCGCAAATAGCTGCAACATCGCCCGAGCTATCACATCCCCTAATCTCGACTCATCCATGCCGGAAGGAACCATCACACCACCACTATCAAAAAAGATCTCGAAGCTGACATGCGTGGAGACATCGCATGCGCTGCTCCACCGCGACGAGAACGATCCGTTTAACAAGGAAATTGACATCCAGCGGGATGTGATTCCGGACCTCGAGACGTTGCCGTACGCACCAAACAGCTTCGACGCTGTGCTCTCCTCGCTCTCGATCCACTGGATCAACGACCTGCCCGCGCTGCTGGCACAGGTGAACACAATACTAAAGCCCGATGCGCCGTTCATCGCGGCCATGTTTGGTGGCGATACGTTGTACGAGCTGCGCGGGTCGCTGCAGCTGGCTGATATGGAGCGACGCGGTGGTGTGAGTCCGCATGTGTCGCCTCTGGCGGATGTCAAGGATGTTGGGAGCTTGTTGGGCCGTGCTGGGTTCAAGATGCTTACTGTTGATGTTGAGGATATCGTGGTCGAGTTCCCGGATACCTTTGCGCTCATGAAGGATTTGCAGGCGATGGGTGAGAGTAACGCTATCATGAACCGTGACTCCGCCCCGCTTTCGCGGGACGTCTTGCTGGCTAATGAGGCTATATATCGTTCCCTGCATATGGAGGAAGGTGACCGTGGTATTCCGGCGACGTTCCGGCTGATCTATATGATTGGATGGAAGGAAGGCGAGGGCCAGTCGCAGCCATTGCAGCGTGGCAGCGGCGATATTAACCTCAAGGACGTCCTTGAGGGAGGTGACTTTGATAGACCATGAAGAATGGAAACAAAAGGGCAAAGAGAAAGAGCCCAACATTTTGTCACAATATAATAATGTAAAACTACGCTTAAAGCGACAATTGGAGAGATATCATCCACAGAGATGTATGGAATGCAAGGCTCTACCAAGACGGGAACAAAAAAAAACAGTCAAATGTAAATCATAAGAAACGAACCTCCATCCGATGCTGTTTTCTCCGCTCAAACCGTCCTACGATCAGTCATGACCCGCACAATCGACCCAGTACCAGCAATCTCCACAAGCCTCTCGTGCCAGCTCAGCAAAACGCTCATCTGCTGACCACCACCACCACCTTCAGACAAGTTGCGAGCCTGGATCTGCGAGAAGCCCGTGTTCTGAGGCGAAACCACATTCTTTGGGGTCTGCGCACCGCTACCAGGAGTAGCCGACGACATTCCCTTGTATCTGTAATCAATAAATCAGCAATCAAATCCACAATTCCCCACCAGACGGTTCCTCTGGAAATCGAAACAGTAGTCCACATACAGGTACTTCATCAAGCAATCCGCCCGCTCAGCGCCGCCATCCCCGCTGCACACGCCCTCCAGGATGCGGGTCATCTCGCCCTGCCGGATACCCTGCAGCACATCGATCACGGTAGCAAGATGCACCTCCTTGGCGCGGTCGTCGCCGCCCAGCGGTGCCGTGTCGAGGACAGTCCGCAGAGCGCCCTCCGGGTCACCGCCGCGCAGCATCTGGCGCACCTGTGTCGCGGCATTGGCGGCATCACTGGCGCTTGCGGCTTGGGGGAGTGTGGCGGGGAGGAGGGATTCCATGGGGAAGTTGGTCGAGGACTCGGGGTCCAGGGCGTCAACGTTGATGGTGCGGTAGTTGATTTGCGACATGATGGCGGTTGGAGGGTTGGTTGAGGGCGGAAGCTGGGTAGAAGTGGGTTTTGATCAAGTTGTTGGCCGAGCTAGTCGAATGGGTTAGGGATCTTTGTGAGGAGCTGCCTGTTGGTCTGTTTGGTATGTCGGTGCGGTGGGCGGAAGCGGGGAGATTACTAGTGACGTGGGAACGTCTCCGAGCGGTATGGGATCCAATGGAGATAGAATGAAAGATCAATGTGTGCGTGAGAGAGACAGAGATCAGATTAACTGATCACAGATAAGTGACAAGGTGAGTCGACAGGGTAATGCGGAGTCAATTGGGAAGTCCACAGGAGATGGAGCTGGACACTTGGTAGACGGGGTGTTGTGGCCTAAGGCAGAAACATATACATCCCTTAACCCAGTTGCCTGGAGGCTCTTTTTTTCTATAGTACTGAGTATTCTACTTCGTATATTAAACAGAGCTACTGATTTGCGAGATAATTTCCATGTAGAGAGAAGTAAATTTCTTAATTAACGCGAGAGTCGTTTTTTCCAGTGGTATATATACATATCCTTTATCAAACCCAGTACTTTATATACAAATAGCACAATAAAATATCACACAGCCACCAAAAGCTAAAATCAACGCTAAAATGACAAACTAAGGAGAGGTCGTAATTGTGATAGGGGGAACCACGACAAGAGGAGGTGTGGTAGGACGTTCAGGAGACTTTTGCTTGTTCTGTTCAAGTCTCTCAGAAGCTTCTTCAGGATCAGCAGAGTTTGCAGGCTGCAGAATCAACTCGACTCCATCTTCTGACTTCCGCTTGTTGACAACACGACGAGTGAAACGCTTCACGGGTCTAAAAAAGGACGTGATACCGCGACCAATTACCTTGCACCCCTTAGAAAGCGGGCGCAAAACAACAGCCATACCGCCAACAACGGCATTGAAAACAATACCGAAATGATAGTCGGGGATAAGTCGAAGCACAACAGCCCAGGGCAGACAGGCAATGGAACAGATAACACATACACCCCAGAGGGTGCCGCTCAAGCGAGTCACGCCGAATGCCTGGCCGCCCACGTAGATGATCATGACCTGACCACCGACCATGATGGTGTTGATTCCTAGGAACCAGTAGTTGCGGAACATGCCTTCGAAGATATTGAACTTGTTGTCGAGACGGCGGTTGTTGAATTCGTTGAAGATCTGCATCCACACGAACGTGTTGAAGACCACGGTCGAGAGTTCCTTCGTGCGCATCTCGGGGTTTGAGCTGAGATGGGCGCCGAGGATCTTGTCGCCTGCAAAATAGAGCATGAATGTGATGGCTAGCTGGTACACTGCCTGGCCGAGAATCATCTTCCACATGGTCAATGTGAAGAGAGAGGCGTGTTTGGGGACAGGCTTGCGGTCGAGAATTTCTGGAGTCGGGGCATCGGTGGCTCTGTTTTTCCAAAATGTTAGTAAAAATTCCAAGCAAAATATAAAAGAACAATCAGAAAAAACCTACAAGGCGAGAGCGGCAAAGGTGTCCATAATCAGATTCACCCAGAGTAGCTGCACAGCGGACAAAACACTGGTGTTATCACTGCTGTACACAGATGACACGAAGGTGAGTACCACAGCCGTGATATTGACCGTGACCTGGAACTGCAAAAACTTGGCAACGGCGTCATTGACAGCTCGTCCCCAAGAGATCGCCGTGATAATGGATTTGAAGTTATCATCCAGAAGAATAATCGAACTCGCCTCCTTCGCGACTTCAGTACCAGCAATACCCATGGAGAAGCCGACATCTGCAGTCCGCAAAGCCGGTCCATCATTGGTACCATCACCTGTCACAGCGACAGTCTCACCGAGGGCCTTGAGCCGCTCGACCAAGATTCGCTTGTCATCGGGGGATGATCGTGCCAGTACTTGCAAGCGGGGAATAACTTCATCCATTTCCGCGTTTGTGAGTTGACGGAACTTGGGGCCTTCCATGACCAATCCATCTTCCGTCTTGATTCCACAAGAAGATGCAATAGCAGTGGCAGTGGCAACGTTGTCACCAGTCACCATCTTGACCTGGACGCCTGCAGAGTGACATTTGCGAATGGCTTCCGGGACTTCGGGGCGGAGAGGGTCTTGGATACCTACGACTCCGATCCAGGTCATACCATGGAAGAAATCATCGAAGTTCGCCGAAGAATCTTCAGAGTTCTTGGCCTCTGCCGGTGGCCAGGCTGTAAAATCCTTGTAGACCATGCCAATCGTCCGAAGAGACTTGCGAGCATAATTGTCGATGAGCTCGAGGATATGCTGCTTCTGTTCCTCAGAAAGCTGCTCCACATCGGGTCTCTCTTTGGAAGTATCAATGTTCATGATTTCTGAGGTGCAGACAGCAACCATCAACTCGGACGCTCCCTTGACAAGCAGTCGGTAGCCAACACCAGGAACACGGTAAACAACACCCATGCACTTCCTGGCAGAGTCAAAAGGAATAACCTGGACGGTCTCAGCGGAGCCACGCTCCGAGACAAGATCCATGCCCATATAATCGCGGGCCAACTGAAGCATCGCGACCTCAGTCTTACTACCGACAAAATCTATGGAGCCGTCTTTTTCCTGTTCAAACGCAGTCGAGTTCAAAGCGATGCTCTTGATGATCAAATCTTTGATCGGGGCTGATAATTGTTGAGAAACCGCCGAAGTAGTCATTGACCCCTTCACATCTTCATCTTCGGTTCTCTGGCTGAAGCCCTGATCCGAGCCCCAGGTTCCGGCCACAACGGTCATTTTGTTCTGTGTCAATGTACCTGTTTTGTCAGAGCAGATGACCGTGGCATTGCCCATTGTCTCGCATGCGCGAAGGACACGGACGAGGTTGTTCTCCTTGACCATTCGGGTGGTAGCAAAGGCCAAAGCCAGAGTTACTGCCAATGGAAGGCCCTCTAGAAGAACATGGAGGTCAGCATAGTTCAGATAATTCGAAATATCACCGCTTACCTGGAATAGCAACAACAATAACCGTGACAGCAACAATAAGAATATCCACAAACTCTTTGCCTTTCATAGCACCGTTCTTCTCCGGGTGATTAGGAAGATCGGCTACGAATCGGAAGAGCAGAACGAAGAACAGAATACCAGCAGCTCTGTAGATTATCATTAGTAACCCATACAACAAAACAAAGTAGGGAGGGTTAACTCACGCTGTACCCAAATATCCAATCCAATCCGCCAATTTGCCCAGCTTGACCTGAAGCGGCGTTGGATCATTAGGAGTCTGCAGCGACAGCAAGATCCGTCCGTAGGTAGAATATGGCCCAACACTGGTGACAACATAAGTTCCGAGACCTTCAAGGACCTTGCTACCGGAGATCAGGAACGGGTCGAGTTTCTTGGTTGCCTTGCCGTCGACAATCTGCTGCCAGACTTCATGGCCGGGAGTCTTTTTCATTTGATCCGACTCGCCGGTGGCGGAAGACTCATCGCACTTCACCCCATAACCTGTGACTAGAATGCCATCCGCGGGGATGGAATCGCCTGCCTCAAGATGGAGGATGTCGCCAACCATGATATCGTAGATTGATACCATATTGGTTTTTCCCGAGCGGGTGACTTTGACTTCACGATCGTCGTTCTATTGGGATGTTAGATATGCTCATTTTATAATTTAGTGTGGGAATACTTGCCCGTTTGTTGAGTTTGGCGAATTGTCTCTCTTTTTGCCAATCATTGGCAGCTGTCACAACTGTAACAATCAAGATAGCCACGCAGATGGCGACTCCTTCCACCCAGTCGACGCCTGTGCCTTCTGACACGGTCTCGTATATCCCTAGGGACAGCGAGACCACGGCGGCGATAGTCAATAATATAATGATTTTGTCGTTATAAGCAATCCAGAATAGTCGCAGGAACCCAGTCGATTTCCGAGCAGGCAGTTTATTCTGACTAAAGACACGGATGCGGTCTTCAAAGGATGAACCATTACCAGCTGCGGACACCGGCGCCGGCGCCGAAGTGTTAGCCGGTAATGAAGATTTCCCTGTGGATGTGTGTTGAGGTGCCACATCCTTGAACTCGACATTACCCTCCAGACGCCCTTCATCTATTGACAAACCAGCATTGAGATCTGTGCGCAGACCACGCTCCAGACCCTGCAAGCCGCCAAGAGCATGGAATGCAGCTAGAGACTTGGGGTTCTGCATTTTGTTTAGTTGACCTGGTGAAAACGCAAACCGATTATCCTCGACTTGGAAATCAGTTTCATTCCGAGGATCGGGTTTCAACGCATCGGCCAGTAATACATCATCATAACCATCTTTGGAAGTATGTGTCGGGTTTACTTCGGAGTTCGCCCGCGAGCGAACTACAGTATCTGCAGAAGAAGCGAATGAGTCCGCCCGCGGACGCAATGTATCACCATCGATCGACTGAGACTGTCGATGTGAGGCATTTTGAACCATCAGCCGTGCTGGGTCTGGTTGATTCCATGCCATATCTGGTGAGACGGGAGAAGATGGGCTCTGATTTAGATCTGTAGGACCTGACCATGCGGATGAGGTTGTAGATATAGATCGCTGGAGAAAAATGAGATCAGCGAAAGAGTTCAGGTGTTTATATAGCTTGGGTGACCAACCTCTCTGCCCGAAAAGTCTGTCACTATAACAGGGCTCAAAAATGAGCCCTCATGGGAGGAGTCATTGTTTGAAGAAGACATAATGTGCGAATCCCATCGAGTTTAGAGAAATTTTGCAAATTAAAAAAAAAGTAGATGCAGTTCGTGTGATATCAATATCAATCGTGTGCCGCCGGGATTCCGAAGACCTTGTTTATCTTTCCCCTCTTAATGGGGCTGTGTAGTACCTCCAAGGATTGCCCAGAACGCCGAGGATTCTAGTGAACTTTCTGGCAATTTGCAACGAGCGGTTTGATCAAAACAAGGATGTATAAGAGGGATATATAATATCCACTTGAGAAAGTCAGAGCTATCGCAAAGGTAAAATATAATATCTTGAAATGGCCCAGGATGTTGCCACTTTTATTACCTAGAGACACACACAGCCCCCTTTTGCGGTAAGCTAATCTTTGTTAGCTGGAACAGGGGCTACATACGAAGTTCCAAGAATATTAAGGTGACGTTCATAGGCATCCGTAGCCAAAGCCGAGGAATGTACGCGCCGGTGTTCTAATTCTCAAACTCTAGCCCCCGTTTCTTGCTACAGCTAACCTCTGCGATCAGCCGCTGTCGAATAGCGTTACGCCAAGTGCAGGTATCCAATGTGAGGGCGTTAGGATGAAATTGGGTTTGTCATTGTGGATAGGCTGCGCCTCGATGCTCAACAGATGATCACCCAATCAGCTGGCATAGAACGATTTTCACCACACTGATGTATTGGCATTGTCTGATAATGGGCGCAAGTAAGGAGGCAAGAGTCTGGTCGCATGGGGCTTGGTTACCTTGGGAGACGGGGAAGTGTCCACTTGATGAGCGGCTAGACTGTGCGCATCATGACCATGCGACAACTGTGGAAACCTATCAAGGCACGCGACAAGAAATAATTTGGTTTCGCTAGCCACTTATCCGCCAATAACTTGATAGTATTCCGGGTGAAAAGCGTGGAGAACAGGGAAGCGAGATCGCCTTGTGGCGTAATTTGTGGCGGTGCGGTTGAAGATGTGGCGGGTGCGCCTCTTACTATGACGGGAGCCTCATGAGCTCTAGCAGAATCCGGGGGCAAGAAATATCACCAGCTTGGTTGTGGAAGGGCAGTGCAATAGGTGACAGTGATATTGGGTGAATTCGCTCCAAGACAAGGCTACTCCGAGGCTGTTAAGTAGTTAGGCAGAAGGACTCGGACTCTAGCACGACATCCAAGAGACTGACAGTGGGCTGAAAAGAAAATACGGCTTAAATTTGGTCTTAGGACGCGTAAATACAGATAAGGTTGAGAATTTGCCAATACTTTGATAGATAGGTTCCTACCGAGCCACATTTGACACGAATATGAACAATACCTGCACCTGCATCCAAAAGTAAATCATGGATGTTCAGCCTCTTCGACCACTTGACGCCTGAAGAGTGTTATATTTGGAAGTGAGGCTGGGTTTCAAAGCATTCGAGAAAAGTCATCTCTTTCGACTCGTTGGGCATATAAAAAGGAATATCTAACCCAACTACAGTAGCTAGTCTCAGACGGCGATGAAAGTCTCACATGTCAGATGAAGCAGTCTTGGAAGAAATGACAAAGGTTTGGAATGCTAGTCTCACCTTGCCACGTGGTCATGCATAGCCGGCCATACAGGATTCGCTCGTGAGGCAAAATGTGTTACACGGCTGATCAGCACTTCGTTAATTCTGCTCATCTACATATAGTAAGCAGTCCAAAACTTGACTGATTTCTCAATCAAGAGATACGTATGGGCAGATGCACAAGGTTTCATATATATAAATTGATAGTTTTAGACTACATTTATGAATCCGAGCTGATACCGTTCAGGCCTTAACTCATACACGTAGTCAATCATATTAAAACAAAGAAATAATATATCCACAATGACACAAACATCAAGGGTAAGTGAGAAGATGAAGTGAAAATAATTTGAACAAGAAATAAGAGAAAAATGAGCAGAGGGAAAATAGAAAGAGGGGGGTATCAATGATGAAAAAAAAAAGAAAAAAAAAGAAAATTATAACAAAATGACAATCAAAGACAGGAAATGCGCTTTATAGCACAAGTAGAATCGTACGGAAAATATTAACAATAACAAAGGCACGATCGGGGCTGAGCCCCGGAGTCCGATCTCAGGGCCTGCACCCCACCCATCACTTCATTTCCATCATTTCACATATCCCATATCACATCGACAATTACGGATCAATAACCTCAGTGAAGCGGCTGCTTCGACTCCCGTCGAAACTATGCAAACTGCGGCCGAGCGCATCCGGCCGCGGCGCAAAGGGGATTGCGCTCTGGGGTTGCGCAACGGGGTGGGCCGGTGTGATAGTGATCGGGGTAGCAACATTGACCGAACTGGAGATAGGAAGGTGTACGGGGTTAGACCGTAAGGGTGGGGTGTGTTCTTCGACCTCGCGGGTGTATTTTGAGTCTAGGGGCATGCCACCATATTGCGAGGTTGGGGGCGGAGCATAGGAGGGTGATCCCATTGGTCCCGTTGCTGGGGAGGTGGGAGTAAAGCCTGGGATGGTGGGGGAATCGCCGTCTAGTCCGCCGCCATATCCGTCGCCCCCGTGGGTGAAGACAGGGGGAAGCTTTCTGCCGGAAATCTTTTGGAACCCGCGTTCGCTGGGGGCAGAGTCGATGGTGCTACCAGAGCGCGCTGTTGCCGTTGACTGGCGCCATTTCTTCATGAAGGCGGGGGCGAAGTATGAGGCTGTGAAGAGGGGATCGTTGCTTTCACGTCGCTCGACGACTTCTCGAGACCCGGCCCCTGCTCCAGCCCCCGCTGCCGCGTCACCTAACATGGTGGGACGTCCCATTTTGCCCATAAGGAATCCTCGGCGGCGGAGGTAGTAAAAGATAAGGAAAAGAATGAGGGCGAGACCGGCAACTGATCCTACTACACCGCCCACGATTTTAGATGTCTCGGGATCGATTGTCGGATCCCCCGAGGCGTTCGTTTCACTTGTAGTTGGCGCGGATCCGGTACCAGTCGCTGAGCCAGTTGACTCAGCACCTCCGTATACACCTGACGAAGAGGTTGTGTAGTCTGTGCTGGAGGTCGGGATCGTTGAGTAGCTGGAACTGGAAGTGGAGCCAGAGCCAGAGCCAGAACCAGAACCAGAGCTGGGGTCATAACCGGAGTCGGAGCCAGAGCTGGAATATGACCAGTAGTTGTGCACCTGGGTTGACGTTGACGTTGACGTTGACGCTGATGTTGTCGTAACAGAGGGCGTAGAGCTAGAAGGACCGAGGAGTGGAGTTGAAGTCCATCCAGGCGAATTGATGACTGTTGCTGAGGTATGTCTTAATGCTGATGTAAGTTGAGTTGTGGAGTTTGTGGTAGTCAAAGAAGTTTGAGTTGAGATCGTGGAGTTGCTTGAAAATGATGTTTCGGATAGCGGCGACGTTGTTGGCTGGGTAGCAGGGGTAGGCGTCGGCGAGGTCAATAGCCCTAAATCTATAGAGACACTTGCACTTGCAGTCTCACTCGCAGTCGTAGTCAAGCTGTCCGAGCCCGGTAGCGTGTAACTGGCGCCCGTAGAATCTGATATCGTCATCGGAAAGTCAGTAGCGGTCGATTGAAAGAGAGTATGTGAGCTAGCATCGACTATCTGCAATACAGTCTCAATAAGAGTCGGATCGGCAGAGGTCGTCTCGTCCCGCTTTTCAAGCAATGGATCAGATTCATTCACGGCATGCTCCAGACACAGAGAGTTTTTCGAGTCGCAATTTTCATCCGGAAGTATGACTGCGGGGAGGATGGAATTTTGAAATGGATCATCCTCCAATAAATCAGAGCCCGCATCTTCATCAACAGCCGCGCGGCGCCTGGCGCTAATTAGCTTGCCGATGCGCGAGTGACGGTGATGACCATGAGCCATGTTGACCATTTTTCCATACACGTGCACGTGTGGCAATCACATGCAATGGGATATCAAGACAAAGTAGCAGAACAAAGGATGTATCGTTGATCCTCACAGAGGTTGAGCTTCGCAGTATTGCGAAGGATGGGACTGATAAGGCTAAAGTCGGCAAACGTAGATGTAAACATAAACGAAAGAAAAACACGTTCTAGCGTGTGCACAGTTGGAGTTGGAAGATAGATTGTCGGACTGAGAAAGGAATGACCCGGTCGACAATATGAATGAATGGATGTTGGTAAAAGCGAAGCCAAAAACGTTGTGATCAACAGCGTAGCATGAATAACTTCGCAAGAATATCGTATATGGCGCACAGTTACGTGGATGGAATGGCAATCGGTCAAACGACTAAGCGGAGTCAGTATGGATTCAATTGGGGAAGCCCCAAGTGTAAGCAAACGGCCCCGGGGCCTCGAATCGATAACACATACCTGGAGTAAAAGAGTGAGAAAAAAAAAAAGAGTGGATTGAAAAAAAAGAGTGGATTGAAAAAAAGAGAGAGGCCAGTCTCACTTCCTAATCCATTGTGTTTTTGGATATCTGGAACCAAAAGAAATATAGAGTGTTTAATATGTCGAGAGAGTAAGCAGGTCAGGATTGACAGCTTTCAGGGTAGTATGGTCACACTCTCAGCACAATTTTCAGCGTCAAGAGGGGGAAGACAAAAATGCAAAGCAAAATGACTCAAAAAGCGACCAAAGAGAAAACAAAGAGAAAGCAAAAAGAAAGCAAAAAAGCGAGACACACGAAAGAGAAGCGAAACGGGAAAATGATGGAAAAGACCCAGACCGGGACCCAACAATCCCCTATCGAGGTCTAGTCTAGGCGACCCGTGTTGACGAACTAGGCTCGGGGGCCGACAGATTTCTTTCTTTTTTTTCCTCCTGAATTTTGGAGAAAGAAGTTTTTGCAAATTGAAGTTTGATGTTTTGGAAGAGAACAAAAAAAATAAATCCCCAAACAAAAGCCAGTTCTCTCAACGCAGGTACCGCCAGGTACCGCCAGAAACAACGAATTAGAAAGTGACAGGGCCCAGATGAGGTTCTGGCCAAGAATACTAATCTATTTTGGGATTAGTCTACCATGCAGGTTTAATTATCACGGCAAGGCGCTACATGCATATATAAATGTATTACTATCTTTGTTTATACCTTTGTTTTTAAATCGTCGACATCCCTTATTCAATTATGTATTCCTCAGGGAAATAATCTGTCATTGTGTCATACGGTGTAAAGGAGAATCATATGTCGATCCCAGTCTCCATAAACCTATTTTAAGCAGTGTCAGACCACTCTGGAAAAATAGGCTGCATTTGTGACTCCATATCTACGTGCTCGGCTCGTCTTATTTGACAATGCAAAGAGAAATAGAAGACGCGGGGGTATTAGTAACGGGTCTTTCCTCCTCTCCCAGAACTCATTTCACTTAAAAAGTCTCGAGCTCGTCAGCCGCAACCTCTTCTCCTTCAGCGGGAATCTCAAAGCCGTCCTAATAGGGGAGCGCAGAAACGTCAGTTAGGGATATCATCAGCGAATAAGTCAAGGGAACGGACCTCGGTCGAGTATAGAATGCCCTGGATGTGCTTAACAAGCGTATCTTCCTCCTTTTCGAGCTCGGGGTCGGCTTCAATAGCGCTCTGGAGCAACAGCTCGATATCGCGCAACTTGGCGAAGTAGAAATCGCGCTCCTTCTCCAGTCCTGCGATAGCTTCCTTCTGTGTCGTGATCTCCTGTTGCAGGGCAGCCACCGCTGCTCCACTGGCCGCGGCGACGGCAACGCGGGGACGGACGCCACCGGTTGTTGGGGTCACTCCACGGCGTGCGCTGCTGGCAGATGGGGCGCGTGAAGCGGGGGCGGCACCAACGGAGCCAGGGGCGCCGGAAGCCTTGCGTCGACCGACGGAGTCGTATTCACCACCGGGGTAGTGCTGATCCCAGTATTTCTTCACCCATTGGAGGAATTCAAGGTTGTCCTGCATGCGGCACTTTGTAAGGGACTGGACGGGGACGGGCTTGTTGACCTGGTGACGGGCGAAGACATCTGGGTGATCATGTTAAAAAGGGGATTGTTGGCCAATTTGGAAATCCGCCTTCACATACTCTGAAGAACCTTGAAGTTCTGAAGGTAAGCATATTCGGTGTTGACGTTGAACTTGACCCGGGACATGGGAACATCCACTGAACAAAGAAATGATCAGTCAGTATTTGTTCCACCATTACAAGACCGCCTCTCTCGATTGTTGCGCAAGTCGTGGTGATTACATACTGAAAATCGAATCGAAGATCTGACAGAGGGCAGCACTGTAGACAAGGTAACAGGTTAGCCTATCCGATCTATACAAAAAAAGATCGCCCTGGCCGTTTGAAGTTGGAGAGAATATTGATCCATACCCGGTTCCACACTGCTCAATCTTGGTAAGGTTCAGCTGCAGCAGGTTGTTGAGCCATGCGAGCAGTTCCTGTCTATAAACATAAATTGATCGGCGTCAGTAAGGCCATATTGGTCGCGAGACGGCGGGGAATAGGAGAAAAGCCGAACCTGGATTCACCCATGATGGTGGGGTAGGATAGATATCAATGTAAACGCTAAAGCGGGAAATGAGACTGAGATGAGCGCTAAGCGGAAAAAGAGCTTGATGAAGATATTACACCGCAAGTCCAGGACTTCTTGTAGTCTCTGCTTGTGTGGTTGATGGGAAACAGCAGAGGGATTGTTTTGATGCTAAATCCCACGGATCACACTGGCGCTAGCCCACCTTTTCTGGCGAATCATAGATCGATTAGTTAATCAATGACTTGATGCCTGAGGTGTCAGGTTTTACCTGAGGTATCACATCGTAGCCTGAGATATTAGCTCGGTGCATGAAACTATTACATTGTCAAGTGAGGCGCAGTTCCACCGTAACAGATCAAATCTCATATATCAAGTCTTTCGTTATGCTGTCACTCAGGATTCAAGTTGTTGGCTCGTGCATTACTACTCAAACATTTGACCGCGGCTGCTACCGCCTTTCCCGCCGCCATATTTGACCAGCAGAAATGGTCGATCTATTGATCTTGTAGCTGCCTCGTCGCCTAAAGCGACGACAAGCTCACACGGCATTGGAGATTGAGGCTATTGTCGCGATACAACATATAAGATAATATATGCTAACTATATAATGCTGCACTAATGATATGTGTGTAAGAATAACAAAGAAGAGCAAGAATCTATTCTGCCAATATTCCAGGGGCGGATCCAATTTGTACCCAAGACGAGGAACCTCATATCCGACTCCCACAATCCTAGCAATGTATACATGTATGTAATAACAATGACCAAACAAATCCACAAAGAGAAAGTAGCAACGCTGAGAAGAGCAAGCGATATATAAACAAATGCAAATGAATCACTCCTCTAACAGGTCGATCCCGTCTAGACCATATCCAAAGTCCATAATAACAGCCCGGGAATCCTGGCTCGTCGCAACAATGCGTCTATAATCGGACTGCACGCTCAACATCCAGCTTGTGGTCCAGCCAGGGAAGTTGATGGACATATCACCCGTATCACGGTCGAACACCTTGACACTCATATCATAGCTACCGCTAATGATACGCTTATTCGCGCTGTCGAGATGCAGAGATCGGATGAGGCCCGAATGTCCGTGGAGCTCGTTGACGAGCTCGCCCGTGTTAGCATCGAATTGATAAATTATGCGGTCGTTGCCGCCAGTGAGGATGGTCCGGCCATCGTCACTGAATTCGACACATGCAAGGCCACGGTCCTTGCTGGTGAACTCCTTGACACATTGGCCTGAGATCACGTTCCACATCTTGGCAACACCGTCACCGCTGGCTGACACGATAAGGTCACCGCGTAACTGCACGGCATTCACTGGCCCTTGGTGGCCGTTGAGCTGTCTTAAAAGCTCACCGGTGTTTCGGTCCCACACACAGATGGTGGTATCCTTGGAGCATGAGACGATATACCGGTCATCAAAGCACACATCAAGCACACCGGCGTGGTGGCCGGAAAGACGACGAATCGGTCGGTAGTCGTCCTTAATGTCATACACGATACAGGTGAAGTCCGAAGAGCCTGTGACCATGATCTCCTCGTCAAACTGCAGGCACAGGATTGATGCGCTGTGGTATATCGAATCTTCCTCCAATGGTGCGGTAATCTTCGCAGTCTCATCCGGCGTGGGCCACGGCGGGGTAATAGTCACGAAGGGGGAGCAACCCGTGGCCTGGGCAGTTGGATTGTTCACTGGACCACGGCGGAAAGTCCGGGCCGCAGGTGGTCCAATAATCTTCTTGCATGACCACGGATAGTGTGCGTCCCACACACGAACTGTCCGATCACGGGAGCCAGTAATGATTTTGTTCCTACAAGCTTGTTAGAAGTGGATGGTACCAACAGATCAATGGTAACTTACTCGTCAAACTGAGAGCAATAGACGCTGTCCTCGTGACCTTGAAGATAAATGGCTGCAGCCTTGCCCTCTGTCCAGCGCTGATCGAGAGCGCGCCGAACAAGGAACTTCTTCTTCCAGTCCTGGTTCGGGATTGACTTCCCTAAGCCAGATGACAGCTTCACCTTGGAGGCCGTCTCACTTGCTGGCCGTCGGCCATATGAATTGCGGAATACGTGCCTCCAAACATGAGAAGAGGACGCACCATACCAAGTACGAGACACGAGCTCCGCGTCCATGAGGGAATCAGGATCCAAATATGAAAGAATGTGTGACGTAATCTCAGCCGGAAGGAGAGCCACGGGATCTATAAAGAAAAGAAGTTAGCACAACACACGTGCTGCCCATCAGGGGGTTCATCCTTACCGAGTCGCATAACACCCAGCAAATCGGCGTCTGACACATCCGACCGATCGCGCAGGTCGATACAAATACCGCTCTCCGAGTCCTGCGGAACCCTCATATCGAGCATCTTGTTCTCTAGTTCCGCCTTAGCCAGCCGCGCAGCCTCCCTTTGCTCATTCTGCGCTGCAGCTGCAGCGCGCGCGGCACCTCCGGACATGTGATTCGGCAGAACTGGGGGTGCCTGCCGCCCACGGCCGGTCGGGGCATAGAAACTCTGTAGGGCAGACACACTATTCAGTGAAGGACGCCGATTGACGCTGTAGGTCTGCTGGCTATATCCCTGGTGCCAATGTGTTTTCGTTGATCGGGCATCCCAGCTACCGGAGGCCATGCGCTTATGGTTTGCATGGGTCGAAACAGGGTTGTATTGACAGTCTTCATCTTCATCAACCAATTTGATGTCCTCGGTGAGAGGAAGTGCTTGCTTGGAAGGCTTGTTGCGAAGACTGACGGACAGACGGCGGCCGAGAGCAACCAAGCCATCCACGGGATGCTTCAAACTCGAAAAGCTTTTGGCACCACGGCGCCGGGGCGCCGCATTCGGGAACGGATCGATCTCTTCCACGACCGGTGCGTGGTCATCCTGGCATATTTCCATCACGTATGGCTCCTCCCATGTGTCCAAAGCAAGCTCTTTCGACATCGGGGCGGCATGACCGGCTGTACGTGGGCGCGAACGAAACGACAACGAGGAGCGTCGTCTGGTGGAGGTGGCGTTGGTCTCTCGTGGCGACATGACCGAGGTTGTTGGTGTGTCGAGGGCAAATTCAACAATTGGATGAATGTGATTGCCGATATGTGCTGTCGGTTGCTGAAGCAAAAGAATGACAATGCTTTTTGTGAGTCCGGTCTATTTATCGACCAATCTGACGTTTTGATCTTGGGGGGTTCTGTAAGATAAATCTAACAAAGTATATCAACGACCGTTCGCGAACTCCAGGACCCAAGGGAATAAAAAAAGAAAGAGAGAAGAATTAATGAATGAACTATAGAGAGAGAATGACAAAAGAAAAAAAAACGAAGGCGCAAGGAGAAGATAAAAGGGCGGAAGAATTCCAGAAAGCAGAACGGATCTGAGTTATCGGGCGGTGAATTTGGGAGGAGTGATTGGTTCGACTATCAAGTTACCGAGGAGTCACTGGTACGAGCATTGAAGTTGTAATCTACTATAAGAATCAGGTACCGAGTACTTTTAGAGTACCCTCCATGGTTCAGATTTTTTAAGGATCGGGGGGCAAATCCTGGGGGGGGGGGGAACCGGAAGTGCGGAGTAACTGTGACTTGGATCGTCACAATAAATCCACTGCAGATCAAAGTACCATCTACAACCTTGATCCGGTGGCGATTACGGCTTTTATTTTTTTCTAAGACAATGATAATGATAGGCTTTATTTTTAAGGCTGATGCTAATATTGGAAACATACCTAAATGCAGTCCAATCTGAATTCGGTGTTCGACCGCTTTGTATACTTCTTTCATCCGGATTCGCTTCGGGGAATGTGGCACATGGGAAGTGAAAATCAATACTATTATTGGAAATAAATAATTGTTTTTAATTTCTTCAGAAAACTTCCTCGACATGAATAAACACCCCTAACCAGCCCTCTACCCCCTTGGTTTTGTATGTTGACACCGACTATATACTAATTCTCAATACTGATCATATCTTTTCATCCAAAGATCTTCTCATATCCGGTCAGGGTGAACCGGTAGTGAACATCACCCTTCTTCATGCGCAGCATGGCATCCTTAAGTCCCTCCTCGGAGATGGGGATCTCCTCCACCCAACCCTTAAGACCCTGATCGGCAGCCAGCTGCAACATATCAAGCATCTCCCGACGGCTACCCAGGTGACTAGCACCGATGAGAACACCATTAGAGATAAGGTTCTGAGCCTTAATGACCTGACCCTCCTCCTCAGGAAGACCAACACTGATCCAGCGGCCATGAACATCCATCATGGACAGATAGCGCGCAAGATCGAAACCCTCGGAGGAGTTAGCGCAGTTGATAATCAAATCAAACGAGCACAGATGCTCCTTCTCCCATCCCTCTTCAGCAGTAGCAATGTAACCATCAGCACCGAGCTTAAGAGCATCGGCCTCCTTAGCGCGAGAACGCGAAATAGCCCACGTCTCCGCACCCAGCGCCTTGGCAAACATGATACCGAAGTGACCAATGCCACCCAGTCCAACAATTCCAACCTTCTTGCCAGGACCAGCGCCATTGCGCACCAAGGGGGAGTAAGCAGTCAGGCCTGCGCACAGCATCGGGGCAACTGCGTTGGTCTCGAGTGCGTCAGGGATGGGGAACACCCAGTGCTCGTGTGTCCGCACGTGAGATGAGTATCCACCCTGGCTAACGATGCCACTGTCGGCCCACTTTGAGCCGTAGGTGTCCATAGGCTCAACCTGGCAGTATGTCTCGTTGTCGTTGCGGCACTGCTTGCACTTGCCGCAGGAGTAGGACTGCGCGCCGACGCCAACACGCTCGCCTTCCTTAATCAGAGTGACCTTGGGTCCGACACGGATTGCCCGACCGACGATTTCTAGAATGGCCATTAGCATTGAGCAGTGGCATAATCTTTTCCTTTTTGAATACGTACCGTGACCCACGCACAGAGGGAACTTTTGATCACCCCATCCACCTGCAGGAGAACATTAGCCAGTTTTTCTGCTTGATCTTTCGTCAATATAACCATACCGCTGATAGTGTGGACATCACTGCCGCAAATACCACAGGCCTCAATCTTAACGTCGACATCTACACTCGGTTAGAATCGGGACGAAACATAGTGGCACAGCCTAACTCACCATAGTCGCCAAAAGGCTTCAGCTTGAACTATTGCAATCAATCTAAGTAAGCGCATATTCGAGCCAGCACACAGAAAAGAGCCCATACGTGACGCTTGTGGAACTGGGTGAAGCTATTAGGTCCATCGACCTGGAAGCCCTCAGCTTCTTCGGGGTAAGGCATTGTGAAAGTGAGTGATTGGTCTGAAGCCTTTGTAAATGACTATTCTCTAGGATAGCAGACAGCAAAGCGTACACGAGAGAACCAAAAAAAGTAAGAAAAGAAAAGTAGAAACCACGACACAAGCGGGGAGGAGGGGGGTATATCAACGCTACTAAAATTTAAACCCTTACGAGCGGGGATCGTGAAACATTCCCTGATTATTCCTTCGCGGGATATAGTCTCAAAAGCCATGGGCACTACGTACTGGTACAGTTCAAAGCCGATTCCCCCCGTCGGACATCGTCCCGTGGACCCGCTCCACCGGGCAAATTGCCAACCGAGGGCAATCAGAGCGCAGGTTCGGTATTCGAGATCGCCCGAGAGGCGAATACGATGAAAAGAGTCTGGGCAGCGTGGGGTGATTTGCTTTATTTGGTGGGGTAGGATTCTAATAACATCCATGCTACGTAGCTGATAACACTAGGCCTGTCTTCTAGTGGACGGGTTCTCGTATCAACTCCGATTTAGTAGTTTTTCCACCTATGAGATTGCGAGGAGAAATTAATATCCCGGGCCTCTTATCAACGATAAGAAGTGGGATGTATAGGGCTTGGGCTTAGGGCTTGGACTTTACATGGGTATGGTCTGGGTATTGTAAAGAGAGGACAGCAGCCTCAGTTGACGGCAGCAACTCCCACACCCCTGGTGTACTGGCAATGAAACTGCGACAATCCCCTGCTTCAACAATATTTGCCTGGTGTAATAACTGGACGGAGAGGCAGGCGACGTCGCGAACATCCACAACAGCACGCGCCATGTGGGGATAGGGGAATTTGATGCCTTGTACTCTGTACAATCGGTTTGAGTACCACTATGTTGCTGGTATTTAATAATACCTCATATGATTCGTGCCCATGCAGCCGGGCCTAGAATTCAGGATGCATGAATTTTGATGATGCCGAACCTATGTAGGATTTGTCTCTTTCGCCCAGGTCTCAGTCACTTCAAGAGATCCTATCTTAGGGTTCATGTGGGCGTGTACTCGCAATTGAATGGCGAGCACACATCATCATTACTACTACAAATCGAATTTATTGTCAAGGGCAAGCAATATATCTGCAAGTTTAGGGACTACCATGGAATGATTTACTACAAATCAAGATCGAATGTCCCTTAGCGACGTCAAGGAGAAATTTAACCATATAAATGAGCCATTCAAAGCTACACTGGGGCAGCAGAGCTAAACGAAGATTCCACATATAGTCATAATTGCTGTGGTCTTAAAGCTGAGCGATAGTGGTGAAATAATGATCAAGAGGCCACGCCCAACGAAGCAGAGAGTGCATCATATCGTAATATTTCTCCTTGTCAATCTGACCCATATAACCATTCAAAGTTGACGACCTGACCTTGGTGAATTGGTGAATTCTTTAAAATCCAAGACTGGGGTAAATTGAACTTGAAATCTACCATCAAAGTAACCGCTTAGTACACGAGCACAGCATTTCTGGTCGAATACTACGATCATGATCTATAGAAATCGCAAGATATCAGTAAGAAACATTTTGCAAAATGGATGGTTAAGAGTGAATCGAACGTACTGGGAAAACTTCACTTAGCATAGGGACATCCTCTGGCTCAATTCCATTGGCGAACGATTCCATTTGACAGGACATGCCTCTCAACCCCCAACTCACTAAGGCTATGAGCTCAGCAGTCGAGGGACGAGCGTGGCCACATAATATCACATCTACCAGAGCCCATGCATGGCACTTGTGCGGGTGATCTCGCTCCATTGTCCTGGCGATACTGATTCCGTGTGTTTTGTCCGGGAGGTCGATATCGTATAGTCTTTGGTGCCTATGTGAAATTTATCAGCCTAAAAAATACAAATATTAAATTCCCCTAGGAATACCAATGTGTCACCTACCAGTAGACTAACCAGTCATCAGTCTGGTAGTTGCGGATATCCAGGTCTAATGAATTTGCAATCACCATCTCATGGTCATCATCAGCTTCCTTGTCGCTTTCTTCGCTTTCCTCGTGACTTTCATCACTTGGTTTGCAATCCTCGTCACAGCTCTCTTCGTCCTTGCAGCCATCTTTGTCCCTCTCATCACGTTTTTTGAGGCCCATGATTTCCTCTTCTTTGACCTTCTTGTCACGGTCTATTTTTTCCCTCTCGTCGACTGCTTTATCATCCGGTTTGTCCTCTCTGTCGCCCACCTTGTCATCCTTATTGTTACCAAGGCGACCCGACTCCTGGACAGTAGAATCCTTATTATTATCTTTTTCTTCGCTTTTCACCCCATCCAGCTCGTAGGGCCAGAATTCCGGAATACTCCAGTCCTGGTAGTCCATGAACACACGCCGAAGTAGATAGTTCGCACTAAGATTTCCTTTGCCGTAGTTGCCCTTTTGAGATAGAAACCAATCATAGCTCGGATCTGATTGTATCTTCTCTACCCTAGGCGTGTCCGTTCGTGGCATGAAATACTGCGTAACAGAAGGCGAAGTCCTACCAGAAGCAATGTCCAGATGATTGAGGTTAATCCGGAGAAGTGTTAGACACGGTTGTGAGATGAAGGACGTTTTTATTTCCTTCATGCAGGCAAGTATGAGCTCAAGTCTCTCGAGTCTCAGTATGAAACACCAAGTTTGGGGGATTGTATTTATGGGGGTATCGTCCATTTTGGTAGATTGTCTGAGGTAGAATAGTTGTACAACCAGCATATACGGTAATATTGCACATGGGTTGAAATACCTGGCTAATACTAAGAAGTAGACTGTATATTTACTTATCATATTTAGGTGGTTGAGAAGAATCACTCCTTGAGAGGTGATCAGACTATACAAGGCTTCAACCTTGAAAGGTTGATTTGACCTACTAAACCCTAACTAGAAGCCCATCTATTTCCTTTAATAGGCTGTAAGTACGACCGTCTCAGTTCCCAGTGGGCGTATTCCGGCGTGAAATTAGGAATAAAGTATATTTCATGGAACTATGCCAGTTTGGGAAAGAGGGTTTTAAAGCGAGGAATTTGAATGATGCAGTTGTTACGTATGAAGCCTGTTTGCCTCAGCTGATCACACATGACACCCGTCTACCCTAAGGAGACAGTCCCATTCAAGTAGTCCCATGACACTAATGTAAGGGATTACTAGGTGCTAACAGATAAGATGTAACAGAAAGTGAGGGCATAGAACTTGATATATGCATTGTAGTTATATTACTAGACTTTAAATGTAGCTTCTTGCCATATTTCCAAGCCATTATGCTACATCGGGCAAGCTCAACTCCACATCCATAGCAGTCTTGATCTTATCAGCGACAGTCTGGTACTGCTCATCAGTAAGGCGGCTGAGAGGTCGGCGAGGGAACCCGCCGTAACCGTAGTATGACTGGATAGCACCCTTAGTGCCAGGAATGGAAGCCTTTGTGAGAACCCAGTCGGCAGCACTGAGTTGCTGCTGGGCCTCGATGGCCTCTGTAAGACGGCCCTCGGACCAGAGAGTGAAGATACGAACACACAGACGGGGAAGAACGTTCGCGCCACCAGCAAGAATAGCAGAGCCACCAGAGACGAGGGTTTGCAGACTGAAATCGGCAATACCACCGAAAGCAACGTATGGGTGCTTGGCGTTGGGCTTGGAGACTGTTGCGGTACGCTCGGCCGGCGCCAAGGGAGAGGATGGGGTGATGGCGCCCAGAGCGGTAGCGACACGAGTCAGCTTACCGGTATTGGCGCAGGTGAACTTAGTGCCGACGATGTTGGGGTGTTCGGAGATACGGATGATGAGGTCGGAGTCCATGTCGATGCCAGCGACGGCACCAGGGTAATTGTAAAGGATAATAGGAATGGGGGAGCCGTCGGCAACGGCTGTGAAGTATTCGTATAAGGTTTCATCGTTGCCGACTGCGGCGCGGTAGTAGCTGGGGGGCACGATCAGAACGTACTCGCCGCCCGAAACCGCGACCTCCTTGCACAGGTCGATGGTTCCGCGGATGCTGTTCTCACTGGCACCGGCGATGACGGGAACATTGGAGAAACCAGCTTCATCGAGAGCAGAACGGGTCTCCCGGGTCACGGTCATGCGCTCTTCGCGGCTGAGATGCACAGCCTCGCCGTTGGAGCCCATGGTAACCAGGCCGACGAGGCCGGCTTTTGCCAGACGCACAGCGTGGCGGCGAATGGAGGCAATGTCGAGCTCTTCGGTCTCGGCATCGAAGAAGGTCATTGTTGGCGCATAAACGCCGGTGCGGAGTGGAGTGGGAGACATTATTCTGTTTCGTGAGCTGATGTTCACAGATTTTTACTAGAATGATAACCTACTTGGAATTTGAAGGGTATATATCAATTAAAAGATGACACAATTGGTACTTTGGCTATGCTTATGAACTTCCATCCTTCTCCCCCACGTCGGCGAATGGTCCGATGCACTTTGTATGGCGGAGAATTATATTCCACCAATCAGTTTGAAGCACATAGAATGTGGGGGAGACATGAGGGGGTAAAAGACGGGTAAACGCGCAGTTCAGCCGGCGATGGCGTTGACATGAGTCTGGCATTTGGTAAATCGTCAATTGAGATGAGAAGCCCAATAGTGTATAGTATATAATTTTAGGGCTTTATACATGTATCTCTCTACGGAAGAAAGAATGAGGAAGAAAATGATTGGGGTCAAAAACCCCATGACCCGATAAGATACGGCTATTGAGTTGGCATTTCAAACGCCGGAAGAATTATATCCAGCAATTCAACTCCCCCGGCTTTCTATTTTTCTGTGAATTATCTTAAATTTCCTTTTCTCCCCAGGAATCCCCAGAAATCCCCCGGAATTCAATCAAAATCTCGGAATTAACAGACATCATGGCTCCTCCTAGCGTTTTGATGGTACGGACATCGTTCTCCGCAGTAGATCCCAAGCTAACTAGCTCGCAGGTTGGCACTGGCGAATACACCACCGGCTTCGTCGGCGGTGGTGCATCTGGCTCAGACAAGAAGGTCGGTGTGGTAGGCCTCAGTCTATTTGACCTGCGCCGACGAGGCAAGGTGGGCGAGCTGAGCATGGTGGGTGTGTCGGGCAAGAAGTTCCCTGGTATTCGTAAGTTGAGCGAAAGGACAGGCAAGCAAACAGGAAACTAACCATGAGAACAGGCGACCACTTGCACCGTAACATCTCTCAAGTCTACAACAGCCTCGATACTTCATTCACCTCGTACCCTGCGGACGACCAGACCGACCCCGACGCATACAAGACCGCCATTGATGCTCTCCCCAAGGGATCTGCCATCACTATCTTCACCCCCGACTCCACCCACTATCCCATTGCCCTGTACGCAATTGAGCGCGGCATCCACGTGCTCATCACTAAGCCAGCAACTCAGCGGCTAGGAGACCACCTAGCTCTGGTTGAAGCCGCGCGCAAGCACGGCGTCTTCGTTTTCATCGAGCACCACAAGCGCTTTGATCCTGCATACTCTGATGCGCGGGCCAAGGCAAAGACCCTCGGTGACTTCAACTACTTTTATAGTTACATGAGCCAGCCTAAGAGCCAGCTCGAGACCTTCAAGGCCTGGGCTGGTCGTGATTCCGATATTTCTTACTACCTCAACTCTCACCACATTGATATTTGCGAGAGCATGGTCCCAGATTACAAGCCTGTGCGGGTTACAGCAACTGCTTCTCAGGGTACCGCTGCTGCGCTTGGATGTGTCCCCGAGACTGAGGATACCATCACACTCCTGGTCGAGTGGCGCCGCCGTGATAACCCCGCGAAGATTGCCACTGGTGTCTATACTGCTAGCTGGACGGCACCTCAAAATGCGGGTGTTCACTCCAACCAGTACTTCCACTGTATGTTATCCTATTCTCCGGCAGTTATAAACGGACCCCTTCTAACACATTGGAACAGATATGGCCGCCAACGGCGAGATCCGCGTTAACCAGGCCAAGCGTGGTTATGAAGTGACCGGTGACGAGCAGGGCCTAGTTCATTTCAACCCGTAAGAGCCCTATTCCGAGGATTTTGTTGTACCGTGGTTCCATACTGACTGCAATCTACTAGATTCTATATGCGCTACGCTCCCGATGAAGAAGGAAACTTCAGCGGACAGACTGGATACGGCTACATCAGCTTCGAGAAGTTCATCGATGCCGTTACAGCCGTGAACGAGGGCCGTGTTACCCTCGACCAGTTGGATGCCCGCCCGCTGCCCACTCTGCGCAATACCATCGCCACAACAGCAATCCTCGACGCAGGACGCAAGTCACTGGACGAGAGAAGGCCTGTGGAGATTGTCTCCGAGGGCGACAAGTGGGAGCTGAAGTAAAGACGATGTAAATGAATTTATGTTATACCAATCAGAAGTGTATTGTTTTCAAAATGTCCCTCGTATATAATTTATTTGGCCCCCAATGCCATACCGTCATGTGCAAGCTCTAGCCCTGATAGCCAGCAACGCCGCAACTTTAAAGTAGTAAGCAGCTGAAATACGAGCCCAACATCAATCCACCCTTGCACTTTTGAATTTATCTTCTCCCCTCCGCAACTATTTATATCTATCAAAATAAATCATTCAGAATGATGCGCCGAAAAGAGGTTTATACCAATATCACACCCATCCCCTCATCCGTACCCCGCCAACTAGCCCTCGACATCCTACACAGCCACAGCGAAATAATCACACTAAACCCACTCGTCATCTCACATCAGCCAGTCAAGGCTCCACGCGATGCAGTCGCCGACGAGTACTACTCAACATGGTACGAGATCATCGAACGAGTACAATATCTCCCTGGTCTGGGCAAGATGGGCTCCGGCAAGATTAGCTTCAAAGGCTGTTTCCACAACGTCGAATGGGGACTAGAAACGCACATGTACGCGCCGATGGGAATCGACCTAAAAAGCAAATGGCGCATTGCAGGCAACGAAGGCGAAGCAGTCGCTCCACAAGCCGGACTCTATCTGCGCGAGGATATCGAGATTGAATGCAACCGCACGCTAATTTCATTCGTCAAGACTCAGTTGAAAGCCGCTTCGAAGGTGCTGGTAGATCGACTGATTAAGAAAGCGGAGCTTCTTGATGCGGGTGTTTTGCAGGGTATGATGGAAGATGGGAAATTGACGACGTATAATCCGGCCGATCGGTCGAGCAGAATTATGAGGGGGGCATCGGTTGCGTCGCGGAGATCAGATCAAATGTCTATGTCGTCGTCTTCTTGGGCGCCGAGGTCGCCGACGGAGTCGGTGCAGATGGGACCGATGTCTCCTGGGTATGCATCTCCGGTGCAATATGGACAAGAACATGGTAAAAGCTTTGCTGCGGAACTACCGGCGGACTTTTATCATCCGCAGCCTGGTTCTAATACATATCAAGAGTTGCCGGATACCAGTCGATATTCGAAATCGTCACGGTTGGATCAGGGGTATGCTGAGCTAGCTGCTATGGAAGAGACTTCGGAGGAGCGTAGTGAAGGGGTACATTGGAAAGGAAATAGAGCTATATAGTTGCTAGGCTGGGAAGTGGATTCCAGGGCTAGAGCTCCCACTTATAAGGGTCTGCTCGATCTTTCTGATTAAGGGCAATAGCGAGGCCCCATGCACTTCAAATACCACAAATGAGCATCTCTTCATCTTCGCTTTGCTCGCCGCCATCGTCAACGGTTCCTGGGGAGAAACAAATCCATGGATGGGATGGGTGGTAGAGAGCGATGGTAGGAATTGCACAATGGCGATATTAATCAGGCCGACAACCACCCGTGGACGGTTGGCCCCTGGGGCCATCCGGGGGTTTAAGATATCACAATGATTCCAAGGTTCCAAGGATAATAAAAATAGGATTATTTGATAGATAGGGAAAAAAAGGGTGGGAACCCAGAAAGCCATATGGCAGTACTCCGTACACGAATAGGAAAACAAAATAGCAGCGCATTTCGTGGTATCATGCAAGAAACATCATTCAAATCCAATCAACGTCGCGAGCTCCCCTTGATGATCCCATCTTCACCCTTATGCAGCTTAACACGGCACTGGGGACAGTACCACTTGGCCGTGCGAGAGGGGACTTCTGTCAGACCCACGCAGTTGAGGTGGAACCATTCACGATCACACTGCGAAGTAGGATATTAGTATTCTGCTGGAACATGCCATAATAGGGATAACTTACATCCTGGTTCTCGCAGCAAATCATCGTTCCAAAACTAACATCTCCACAGAGACAGTATCGGGGCTCATTAGCGTCGATCTGCTCGAGGACGCCGTCTTCGTCTACACGGACATCCTGGGAGTCGCGAATACTGAGACGCTTCTTTCCTGGCTTCGCTTTGCGTCGTCCGTAGCTTACTGCTGCGCCGCCATCTTGACCAGTGGAAATGGGACCTGGTGCTGGACGCTTGCGTCGGCGGGCCGGGGCGGGAACACTTGGCGCATTTGATGACTCGCGGATTGGAGTTTTGTGCGCAGGTGTTGCGCTTTTGATGCGGCGATCGCGTCCACTTGCTGCTATTGCAGTCGGGATGGTAATGAGGGTTCCTCCTTCAATTGAGGCAGCGGCTGCAGAGCGCCGTGATGAAGGCCGAGTGAGGGGTGGTGTGGGAGTAGTGACGGGTTTGACAAGGGGTAGGTTGGATTGTCCGGAGCTTGTAGGGCTGATGGGAGGAGGGGAGGGTTTGGCTTCAACTACGGGGGACATGTTGATTTTGATTGGGAGAATGAGATCGTTGTGAGTTTCTGCAGCTGGAACGGCTCCTCGGCTAGATCTGCGCCGAGACGGGCCAGCCCTGAAAGAGGGTGCAGGGACAGGGACGGGCGGTGCGACCGGAGCAGAAACCGGCGTAGGCTTTGGAGGCTCGGGAGCAACCAGTTCTGTCGCTCCGAGGATAACTTCTTCCCGTTTCCTCTTCCGTGATGCTCGATTCGCAGGTGGGGGTGCTTGGGTTGGCAAAGGCCTGGGCAAAGCACCGCCCTCGCCTTCCATCAATGCTTGTTCACGGGCCAACTGTTCGCGTTTCAACTTCTTTGCTTCGTTAAGTTTCATTCCGCGATTGCTCAATTTCGTCTCCTCCAAGTCTTTGGCAGCCTCCCCGCGCCGGGTTTCTTCGATATTATCACAGTCAATGAACTCCTCACCCGTCTCTTCTGCCAGGGCCTTCGCTGTACGGTATGCTTCCCAGCCGCGATTTGCCAGGGCCAGCTCACGGTGAATCATTACTTCACTCGGTTGCCACACAGCATTTTTTTTCATCTTCTTCCGCAGCCTGGTCATCTCCCATTCCGTCAATCGCAGCCACGGCAGGTCCTCGCTGCCCAATTTCGCGTCAGCTGGCGGCGGTTTCAACTGCGCAAGGGCCTGGGCTGTCGACTGTCCGATGCCCGAGCTCAAGCGACGTGCCTTCTCCTTCTTTGGAGGTCGAGCGGGCTTGGGGGCAGTTTTAATGAGTTCGCTCTCCAAGTCCGATTGTTCAGTACTGGCAAGCGGAGAGTCTGGGTCAAAAGCACCATCAGCGCCTAGCATACGCCTCCTATTTTTATCTCTCCGGTTGCGATTGTTATCCAACCGAAGGGTGATACGCGTCGTGGCATCCTTGTTGGTCTTCTTACCTCCGCGCGCGCGCTTCGGTGTAGGTTCAGGTGGGGGCGACGGTTCTGCTGATGCAGGTTTCGGCAGTGCTTCGAGTTTCTGACGGATGCAGCCTAATCGGTCGAAGTGGCGATCCACAACGTCGTAGAGGCGGCAGGCCTCGGCATATGCCGATTCGCGCGCGTTGATGGCACGATCGACCTGGGAAGATATATCTTTGCGCAATGCAATTGCGCCCGGTCGATTATCTGGAGGAAGGTCTGGGAGCTGGCCGTAGATCTGAGTGAGCTGGTGGACCGCTTGCGCCGAGTCGAGGTATCGGTCATCGAGGCCGCGGATGAGGGTCAAAGAGCGGATTAAATCTGCGGGGAGGTATTCGGTGTAGTCAATAAAGTCTGTAACAGTTGCCTGCGCATCAGGGTCGAAGGGGCCATCTAGGATGACCCCTCCGCTGTCGTCTGTCTCGTCGGTCATCGGCATGTTCGATGTCTAGCACAATGGTGGTGGATATTGATAGGTTGTGGGGGCTCTTGGCCTGGGAATTGTAATCGTTGTTGAGATATGCCAAGTTCACTGAGATTCTGCGATGATAAAAGCGGACATCGAGGGGTCTCAGTGTCCGATAACAGACGTAGCTGGATGCCTTACTGCACGAGGTCCTAAACACAGCGGATGATAGTTATTCCAATACCGTCTGGGGAGCTCTCAGTCACGTGAATATAGGTCATAACCCGCCCCCATATTACCAGCTGGATCTCAAGATATAAAATTGAAAATATCTTTGCTAATATTTAGGATATGAAAGCATTGAAATTTACAAGAATATTCCGGGCTTGAGGAATACTTGGCTCTGTCTTAAACCCACTACCTACAGAGTACTCCGTACTACATCTGTGGGTCTACATCTATACTCTGCCTTGGCTTTTTTATTCAACAGTTAATTCAATTTCATTTGACTTTTCAAGTCAAACCAAGTATCAAGTGCTTATTTTTCTGTCAGATATTCAGAGACAAAGCTGGTAATTCCACACTGAGATACTTGTCAATTACCGGATAGCAACCTGCCTCCATGGATGTACGTATATCACTGTCGGTAACACCTGAGAAAGCAGAAAGAGAAGAAATAGAGATATGCATTTCACTTGATTCACAGAAGTATGTACTACGACTATACAGAATTCTTCATCTTGTAGGTTCCTTCCATGTAAAACCCCGGCATTGAAGAAGATCTCCCTGAACAAACACAACTCACATCGTGGTTTCCCAATTTACATCGCTCCTTCCTATCTAGGAAGTATCAATCTAAACAGCTCGCCGTGCATTTCGCGCCGCGTGTTTGTTTACTTTTTAATTTTTCATCTCTCTCTCCATCTCTTATTTTCAAACTTGCTACAAGCTTCCATCGGTGTCGTTCAAGATGGATGTTCGCGAGCGTCTGAAGATGCTTCTCGAAGGGGATCCAGGTCTCAAAGATCTGAATGCCAACTTGAACAAGGCTCAAGCAGTCCAGCCTGCCCAGCCTTCCCGGGGTCCGGATGGAGTTGTCTCGGCAGACGAGTCCAACGAAGCTAAGCAAGCCGTAAGTGGATATGCTCTTCCCGTTGATTTTGACCCGGAGCATGGTATGGAGTATCCTGCGAGTGGCCAATTCCCTTTGTCGTACATCCGTACCCATGTTGTTGGACAGCTAGTTGAGTCGGATGACGATTTGACCGAGATCGACCAGGATGTTCGCACCCCCGGTCATACTCCCAAGATTCACCGTGATGTCTCGGACGTGCTCAAGGATAGCGGCGATATTTTTGACGAGGAGCCGGTCACTGCGATCCAGGTTCCAATCTCGTTCACTCCGGCGGTGACAATGGCCCGCTACCCTTTCAAGTATCTCTATGGAGAGAACTTCAAGAGAGTGAATGAGCGGTTCTATGTGGGTAATAAGTTCTGGAATCGGACCTGGGATCTGTTTGTGAAATCTATAATCATTTAGCAAAGTATATCAACGCTAATCCTCACCCAGGTTTTACCTTCCTGTCCCAATGGCAATTTCTCAAGCTCCGTTTCTTCTGATTACCACCATGCAAGCGCAAAGTTTTCTCGATGAAATCAATTCGGCTCTGAAACTCAAATTGACTCTCACGGGCGTTCACAAGGAAGGCCTTGTGATTGAAATCAACAATGAGAAACTGCCGCGGCCTCTGTACCTCGGCCGAAGCAGCAGCCCTGATCGGAAGGCAAGATTGGAGAATCGTGTTCCCTCGCCTCTGGAGAACTGGGGACCCTGGGCACAGCTGGTCGAGCCCCACGTTTTCAAAGAATTCGAAAAGAAAGTCAAACAGTCGATCGCCACAATCAAGAATAAGAGGCACAACAAGCAGGCGGCCCGAGATGTCCAGATGCAGAAGTTGCATGAGTCTTTGGCTCGTGCGCAAGCCTACTTTGGTCTGCGTCCTGCGCTGCAGCCGAATGTTACACAGCCGTCGTTTGCCAATGGTCAGATCGGCGCAATTGATGTTCTGAAGCCTGTCAAATGGGCCTTTCAAGATGCCCCTATCTTCATCTGCGTTGATCTCGAGTGGATGGACCGTTACGGATGGCTGACTGAGGTTGGAATTTCGACCCTGGATATGATGGACTTGGAAGGTGTGGTTCCTGGTGATTATGGACAGATGTGGATGAAACAAGTTCGATCCCGTCACCTGCGTGTCACGGAGTTCCGACACTGGGTCAACGATACTTACACAACCGGATGTCCTGGTAATTTCCGATTCGGCGAAAGCGAGATGATTCCAAGTAATGATATTGGGAAGGTTGTGGATGCTGTATTCCATCCTCCATACATGGTTCCCATTAAGGAGGGGAAGATCACCTCATACAAGCAGCAGAAGCGCACTGTGATCTTGGTCGGTTTCGACCTCCATGGTGATATCTCGCATCTCCAGAGAGCGGGTAGCAAAGTCTTTAACAATCTGGGCAAACCCTCTTCCGTCGTTCGTGAGACTCTTGATGTGGCAGAGCTGTACCGTGTTGACGCTGGAGAGAGCCAGAAGCGAGGCCTTCGAGCAATGTTGGGAAATCTGAATATCTTGTGTGCTGACTTACACAATGCGGGAAACGACGCGTACTTCACCTTGCACGCCCTTGTGCGACTGATGCTGAGAGTAGCTGGGGAGAAGCCATGGGGATACGAGGATGGGGAGCCCAATGTTGACCCCGAGGTTGAGCCCAAGGATAATCCCAAGGTCACGATCAATCCCAAGGATAAACCCGATTTTGAATCCATGGCTGCTCAGTTTGAAGAAGCCGGCAACAAAACCGACGATACCCCTGTGTGGAGTCATTAAGATGTCCAACTGCAACGATTCCCCATTCACGGAAGTGGGAGTGAAGGAGTGTGGGTGACTGGAGCCGGGAAGTCACGTCTGGGAATCGTTTGAATACCTCTCGTCGGATACCCCTTTCATGATGAATGGGCCCAGAGGGATGAATTTGTTTCAATATGAACAGAGTGCGTGAGATCAAAAATGTGGAAAATACTTGAAAAACAAGGGGATGTATGGCTAGTTTCAGCTTTTTATGGTCTGAACTGAATGAAATCTCCGCCGATTTGATATCATTTTTTTAGTTCCAACATTTAAACACTGTGATCTATACACGTATGTATACACGTAAGAAAGCCGTGAAAAGTAACTCTGGATATACTCGCCGAATGTTATGTCCCACTGACGACATATCATGTTCATCCCACTATCGCCCCTGTCCCACAAACCCAATCTCCAATCCCCCCTCCACCAAACAACAACCACAAACAACCTCCAATCCCTAAAAAAAAATGACAAGCCAAGGCCCCCTAACAGCCTTCCTGCTATCAAGCACCCCCAATGCCCTCAAAAGAGCAACAACCCACCCTTTCCTCGCCTCCGCCGGCCGCGGCACCCTCCCAAAATCCCAATTAAGCCAATGGCTCTCCCAAGACAGACTCTACGCCCAATCCTACATACGCTTCATAGGCCTCCTCCTCTCGAAAATCCGTCTCCCAACTCAAAACCCAACATCCCCAGGCCCACACATCCCAACACCAGAACACAACGCAATAACAGTCCTCATCGACGCCCTAGTCAACATCCGAACTGAACTCGCCTTCTTTGAAAAAACTGCAAATGACTACGACTTGGATCTAACAGCTATCTCCGCTGAAGAAGGTGGCTGCACGCTTACTTCTTGCGGCTTGGGATCGGATATTACTACTTCCGCTGGTATATCCACCAGTGGGTCTGGGAGTTGTCCTGGAACTGCGGGCGGCAAGGGTCAAGGACCTCTGCTGGGTAACGGTGATCGAGCAGGGGATGCTTGTCTTACGTCGACGAATGAGTCGAACAGTGCGTCTGGTCACGGACTTTGTCTTAGTCAGGGTGAATGTCAGATGCCTTCTGGTGGGGAAGTCTGTACTCCTGGAGCTCAGTTCAATGAGTCTGGAAGGGGCGTGGAACCTGCTGCTGTTGGTGGGGATGGTGGGAAAGTTGGTGTTCAGGGTGATGGTGAGCGATGTGGGACTATTTTCTTCTGTGCTAGTCGGACGACGCGGGCATATATTGATATGTTTATGTCTGCTGGGAGTAGTGGGGTTTCTGTTTTGGAGGGATTGGCTGTGTTGTGGGCTACGGAGGTTTGTTATCTTCGGTCTTGGAGGTTTGCGGCGGGGTGTATGGGTGAAGATGGGGAGAGGGATTATCGGAAGGATGCGGACGGGGGTGCGTTGAGGGAGAAGTTTATTGATAATTGGGCTAGTGTTGAGTTTGAGGAGTTTGTTGATCGGATTGGAGATGTTGTTGATGAGATGGCGGGGCAGATTAAGGGGGCGGAGGAGTTGGAGATTATGCGGGGAAGGTGTTTGGAGTGGTGGAGGCAGATTGTTTGGTTGGAGGAGAATTTTTGGCCGAATGTTGAAGGAGGGATCTTATCTGATCAACTATAGATCAACTTTAAAATGTACGATCTCCAAGCTTGGAAGGTTTGCAGTTGAAAATATTGTGAGATATGATACATCTGGCTGGAAGCCCATACGTTTTAAGGCCATCTAGAAACGCAAAAGCAAAACAAAGAACAACGCCGTCCACAACCCCCCGGCAGAAAATCAAATCAAAACTCGAACTCCAATCTCTGCTCCCAAAATAATGACAATGTCATCGAGAAAACCTTCGAAAAACAAGTATGAAAACAACCAAAGCCGCCAACACCATTCGTAATGCGGAAACATAAAACATGAAGCAAGTAGTAAAACACATGGACACAGTCTGTAAAGTGGACATGTTGTACATCATCGAAGTCAACATCAAGTAGCAGCCGCACGGGCAGCATTGCCTAGTTGTCGATGGTATGAGCCAATAGGTTCGAAACCCCTAGAGATAGCATTAGTTCCTGCATGGCAACTGGGTAAATAATAGTGTAGAAATGGAACATACCTAGCAAGATCAAAACCAGATCCATTATCATCTTCATCCTCCTCATTCCTATGAGATTTCCCATTAGGTCCCATATCCCCTGAATCCGACTGAAGCGGCGGCAAAGTCCGACCGGAGCCAAGCCCATTCGACGTCCCAGGTTTGCTGGGACTAACGAGATTCGGCGGCGGGGGAGAACTACTCGGGAAGCCGCCGATAATGCGGTCCTCGACCTCGCCCTTCAAGGGACTCATGTCCGGCGGTGGGCGGGCAGGGGTACTCCCGATATCCGCGAACTTCCAGAACTGCGCGGGCGAGCTCATGGGCATGAACTTGGATGGAATCTGCGCTGTGCTTGGGGGCGGGAGACGGGGTTGTTGGCGTTGTGGGGCGGGGGTGATCATTGAGGAAGGTTCTTCGTTGTAGTAAGATGAGGAAAGGACGGGCGGGGACCCGGCTACGTTGTCGGACATGCCATACGCGCGGGTCAAGTTGTTGCTGCTGTTTTGCACCTGGGTGGAGATGCTGGAGTTGTGGTTGTGCGAGCGCGATGGGAGCGGCGAGGGTTCGTCGTAGTCGCGTGGATTCATGTGGCGCAGTGGGTGGTCGGAGCCAAGGCCTCGACCGAGACGAGAACCACGCTCTGGGGTGTATGCTTCCACTGGAGCTACGGGAAATGAGCTGAAACCTGGGGACGAAACCGGGGGTGACTTTTTCGCTGTTGCTGAAAACGAGGTATCGAGTTTGGTGACGCGGGACCCGCGTGCGGATGACGGTGGCTCTTTTGTGGCCGGCGAGGACGGCGCCGATGACTGCGTGCCACCCTTGCGTGTTTGCTTCTTCCGGTACTCCTCCCGGTATTCTACTGCGATCTGCCACTTCATACCCTTGCCCGGCTCATCGGTCCGGCGGGGGACCTTCTGGAACGCCTTGTTCAGCGAAAGATTGTGGCGGATCGAATTTTGCCAGCCGCTTTGGGAGTGTCGATAGAAAGCGTATTTATCCATGATCCAATTGTAGATGCTGTTTAACGTGAGCTTCTCCTCCTCACTTGAGAAAATAGCCTGGGCAATCAGCGTCGCGTAGCTGTACGGCGGCTTCAAGTCCTTGGAGGAATCCTTGCTGTAATCGATCTCCTCCGTACTCTCCATCATCATGCCTCGGTTGTAAAGCGGAGACTGCTTAGCCGTGCGCTGGCCAGCGGTATCAGGTGACCGCGGCGGAGGCGTCACCTGGCGTTTGAGGAACTTGGGAGCAGGCGCCAACGAAGGCCCGCCAGACGAAGATGGTGGTACATCCTCGCCATTCTGCGATGGCTGAGGATGGGCATGCTGCGAAGCATCCCAGGAAACCGAAGCCGGATCGGGCTCCTGTCCGCTAGCGATGCGCTGGGCGCGCTCGATAAAGCTGGGCTGGATATTGGCTTCGTCACCGGGTGTAACAAACATCATTTGTGTATTGGCCACCTCAATGATATCGCCACATGAGAGGATCGCATCGGTGCCGCGCTTTATTATGACATTGTTCAGGCGCACACCGTTCCGGCCGTTGACACGGATATGCCAGGCAGGGGTCTCCTCGCCATCATAAAAGATCTCGGCATGCAGTCTCGACACGAATTTGCTCGGGCCCAAATCAACATGAACATCTGGCAGCGCACGAGCCGCAATTGTGACGGGGCTGGACTGCTCCACGGCCCGTTGTTCGCGGTCCGGTTCGCGGCCGATATTGACATGCAGGGTTTTGACGTAATAGGTCCAGTTGCGGCCGGCGATCTTAGCATACGCCTGGATGCGCTGCGTATTCTCGGTCTTGGTGTTGGAGTGGTCGCGCGAGACGCGCAATTCCTCGCGAGGTGTATTCAGGTATGAAATCACTAGATCGACGAGATCTTGATTGGTAGCGGGTTCGTGTTCGCCCGCTGAGTCCTCGGCTTCGTCGCCGGACTCATGTTTGACGTTTCGGGGAGGGGAGGCGCGGCGGTCAACCTGATCAGAAGAAAACGGGTATTAGCTCCTGTTTGCGCGGGGATATAGTTGGTCTCAGACTAAACGCCCAGTTATTTTAACTCACCTTGCGCTTCTTTGCGGATGGCCGGCTGGGCGACGAGTCCGGAGCCTCTGCATCGGACGTTTCTTGAAGTTGAATTTCCTTGCGCCGCGCGCGGCGGCGGTTTGTGAGCGGCATATCTTATAGAAATCGGGTTTCCTCCGTTTGGATATATTGTAAGTTGAAGTTGGCAGATTGGCAAATGATTATTTTTTTCCCGTTGCGTAGGCAATCAAGTCCGAGTCGAAGTACTCCACAAACAAGCGCGGGGCAGAGAGGAAATATGGCCGATGGCAAAAAAGGCAACATAAAAAAAAACAAAGGCAACTCTTCCAAGGTTGGATTCGGAATTTCACCCCCAGAATCGGAAGACCGTTCAGAGGTAGAACCAGAGAACGAAGAACGTCAGAGCATGGGTTTGCCACCACGGTAAGGAAAAAGGGAAAGAAAAAGAAAAAAGACCGTTAGACTGTAAACAAGTCTAAGAAGGCTGGATCTCTCTTTTTTTTATCAAAAAACTCCCCCAATCGAAAGGTTGATATTGTGTGGCTGGATGTTATTATCGATAATCCCTAGGCCGATCGACACGCGCAATGGCGTCTGTTTGGGGAGGTGACCGCCTTGTCGCGTAGCGTGTTTAACACAACAACCAGAAAATACAGGGAAAAAAGAAGAGAAAGCAGAGAGAGAGAGAAAGAGAAAATATAAAAGAGAAAAGAGAAAACAAAGTGTACAAGTAGGAAAAGAAGATGAAGATGGGATGACCGTAAACAGTTGGTGGATTTGTGGTCATAACCGCGTATACATACAGGGAAAGGTCACCGATAGGCGGAGATAGGACCGAAATACCAATACAAGCACGTGCTCAGCGTGGGATTGGGATGTTTCCGAGTGCAGAGAGTGGGACTACTCTGCATTGGGATATTCTATGTTCAATGTTGTTCTATAATGTAGATATCCTACACTTTGTACAGAGTATGTATGTAAATATCCTATTATCCTCATTGTTCTTACTATAACCCATGTACATAGTCATGTATAACACCTACCTCAACACTGATTTATCTCTAGATATCCCTACATCCCCAGATTTGATCAGAATGAGATCTGCCCGTTTGCGTCACTCCCGGATATGGTTTAGCTTACCTTAGGTCTGACATGTCGATCTAAAAGGACAGTAACATCAAGATGTACCAATGTTCTAGAGTCTAAGATGCAAACAATTTCCGTAAATAAACAGACAGTTCAATGTTCCAATAATCATACAAACTGAAGCTAAAACAGAAGACTTGTCCATTAAAAAAAAAAAAATAAAGCTCAAAAAAGACCTGGTAGGAAAAGGGGTGTCAAGCAGAAAAAGCAATAAACAAATGTCGTCACGGCGTGAAGCTATAGCTCAAAGCAGAATTTACTCAGGCATTTTAGAATCCCCATCCTCATCCTCATCCACACCACGTAATGTAGGATAGAAGACTCCTTCACTTGCAGACTTGGCAGGCTCTTCCTTTGGTTGCTCAGAAGCAGCCCGTACACTAGCAGTCTCGACTCCCTCCATAGCATCAAGTCCTGGCGTAGGAGAAGCCGAGGACTGAGTTCCATATCCAGCAGTTAGGCTATCGGCCTCGAGCAATTCAGAAACCAAGCGACGCAGGTTCTCAAGCAAACGGACCTTCTCAACCCAGGCAACGTTGACATCCCGCTCGGCAACTTCAGTGGCCGCTTGCGCAGTACGCTTGACAGCCTCCTGGTCGGGATTACCCGAAAGGGCGGGGTCAATCAGACTCTCCGAGATGTGAATGGCGGGAGTCTTGCTATCCTGTGAGGTATCCATGCGGTCCCCGGTGACAGCACGCTCGGCCGGCCGGGCGCGTTGCAAGGTACCGCCAGTGTAGCGGCGACGATCGTCGTGGTCGTACGCGCCGCTCAGAGTTGAGGGTGGTGCGGCGCCTGATGTGGTCGGGTAGCCGGCATTCATGCTGTCGGCGACAGTGGCCGACGGCAAGCGGGGGTACATACCCGGGCCGCTCTCGTGAGGGGGCGATACGCGGTGAGCATGGTGCATGGCGATGGGAGAGCGGTTAGAGGTATATGACTGAGCGCTGGAAGGCGGGGTCAGAGCTGGGGTGCCGACCGAGGGGGAGTGGGCCGAAGCAGCTCCCATGGGGGCGGAGGTTGCAGTAACGTGGCTTGGCGGGAGCTGGGTTGGGGGAGAGTGGGTAGCGCGATAGTTCATGCCACCATGCACGTAATGCGCGCCGGGCTGGGCAACGCCGGCAGCCGCCACGTTCTCATCGCTTTCGTAAATAGTGTTCTGCATTTGCTCGAGGAACTGATCGATGTTGATCAGATCGTTCTTAGTCCGAACATTGGACATGGGGGGAAGGTGGTAGCCAGGAGGGTGGGAACCACCAGGGCTGTAACCACCACCGCCACCGCCGCCACCGCCGACCGCGACAGATGCAGGCATTTGCTGATATTCAGGCACAGGGCCGTTGAGGAAGGGAAGCTGAAGCGCTTGCAGACCCAGCAGACGCTGGCCGACCGCGGCATAGGAATTAGGGTCGAACTGACGGCGCTTCAAGTCTCCAAAAAACTCATTCAACGCGTCATATCCGCGTTTACGGTCATACGGGTGGTTTCCATCTTGTCCTTGGCTCAGGGCATAGTATACATTGCCGTAGGAATGTGGGTTGGGTGCCTGAGGTGGGGGGTGTGGCTGATAGTACTGGGGGGTGGCGCGTGTGAATATTGACCATTGATGCCATTGATCGGACTCTCGAAGTAATGTGTTGCGGGAGCATAACCTTTAGGGTTTTGTGGGAACATCATATCAGGATGCTTCATGCCCGGTTCGGGGGAGCGGATCTCAGAGTCGTCCGCATGGGTCTTGACATGCTTCTTCAAATCCTGGGGGCGCTTGAAAGCCTTTCCGCAGAAATCGCACTTATGAGGCTTAAGCGGCACATGAACGCGAATGTGGGAGGTGATGTGATCACGCTTGACTGTTGTGGTGTTGCAAGTACCCCACTGACAGGTCAAGTTGAGGTTGTTGGTGCTTTTACGTCCAACATGGCGCTCGCAAACATGCTCCTATACGGGGATTATTAGTACCTTTTCCAATATCTTGAATTTGTTTGATCAAACTTACATATAGCGACTCGGCAGTGGGGGACTTTTCAGTGCATCCGACCCACTGACAAGGCAACTGCTCACCGGCGCCGTTCATTGAGGGGCTGTTCACCGCCGCGGTGGCGGCGGCAGCAGTCGCGGTGACGGAGGCGGAGGGGGTTGGCGTTGCTTGAATTGGCGCTGGTTCAGAAGCCGGCGCAGGCAAGGTCGCCTGGGTAGTAGAAGGGGTATGATTCTCCGACATGATGCCAAGAAATTTGATCTGAAGTTGGCGGAAAGCCTAGAGAGCGAAAAGGAAAACAAACTAAGGTGATCAAATAGAGATGAACAAGCTATATGTATACAAGGCGAGAGAGAAAAAGGGGGGGGGAAAGATAGGTGAGAGAAAATGGGGCTTTCTCCGCAGAAGAGGAAAAGGAGCCGAGCCTTTGCCCAGAAAATACCGCTTTGCTAAGCCTGGCGGAAGGACAAGGAGAGAAGCGAACAGACCAAGACCGGGCCAAGAGTCGGTGCGGGCCCCAAGACCCGAGAGGCGTTGGCGCCATGGATTGTGACTGGTGGACCGAAGGGGGAACGAGGGGCTGTGTGGTGAGCATTCCAGGGCTAACACGTAGCACAGTAGGGTACAGTACGGTATTTTAATATATTTATATAGCTAACTCCGTAACTGGCCTTATAATTGTACATCCGGATGCCCTAAACAAGTTTAGTGCAAACAATACCGTAAATTCAAGGTAAATTTTAATAGTTGAGTGTAAATTTACATGCAGTCTCCCCGAATTTTCAATTTAAATATTTCAATTTCAAGTGAAGCTGAAAACAAGTGGCGTGTTCATTTCGCCAAGCCGACCTTCCAAGAGACATCCCATGGGCAATGCTTCTTGGCAGCCAAGTGATTCCTCTTGCCAATAATTCCCGCTCCGGGCACCAAGACTCAAGTCTTGGAGTCTTGGTGTCTTGGTATGACCAATTTCATATCCCTTTCGTATAAACTTTCTCGTGTGACGAGTCATTGGATTAATCCGGCTGCCTGGTGCCCTTGTTGCGGCATGCATAAGTCGGTTTCGGATTCCGGGGTCATTACGGAGTAGAGGCATTTATATGTAACCACACAGGTGTTCAGATTCTATATGCTATATGTCACACCTTTTATCTGTCTAATTTTATTCTATCTGCAACCTTGGAAATATATCCTGACACGTCAGACTACCCCTGATATACAAATATACAAATATACTTACCAAGCTCTTCTCAAGGGCTTAGCCCAAGCATTCCAGGTGCTCCTTGGAACATGGCTTAGCCAGTGGCTTGGCCAGCCAAGCCCAAAACAACCAAAATAGCCCACGTGCACGTTTCTGCCTCTCTGATCTCATCTTCCTAAGCGGATCTTCCGCTTTGGCTGGTACCAACTCCACACATTCAACCCGACCTTCGTCCCCTTTGTAACAGGGAAAGCAGCGTGCCAAGTCTCGGAATACCCTGTCCCATCCGCCCGGAGGTTCTCCCAAAACACAGCATTACCCTTGATAGGCTTGAATGTGACACCCATCTCCTTCCCCTTCCCCTTCCCATCCTGCTCACAATCCAAAAATCGACACCACTCTTCCCCAGCTGGCATCCTCAACCGTGGGAAATTCGTCCCCCCACCCTCACAGTCCGCGTCGAGATACACCATAAACGTGCTGAACCGGTCCCCACCTCGCGCCAACGACCCGGCCCAGTCATAGTGGTGGCGGTAGTGGCCAGAGGCATTGTAGCGCTGCGCCCACATGCGCTCGATGTACAGGTCCGGACGGTAACCCTGGAAGGCGCGGGCGCGGTCTTCCAGACAGCGGACTGTGTCGTCGCGGTCGAGGAGGGCGCGGTCGGAGAGGCGTTTGTTTGGGTCTACTCGTTCGGTTTGGCCGTCGTAGACGATTGAAGGGGTGTATTTGTTCACGCTGGGATACGGGGAGGTTTGTTCCGGTTAGCTTGGTCTGTGGTTATATTTTGTGTGCTATGGTGTATCCATTGTTCTCGTTGGATTTGGTTGCGGTTGCGAGTGGTGGTTTACCTCATGTCCAGGATGTGGTTTGCTTCGGTTTCGGAGACGAAGTTCTCGATGTAGATGATCAGCGGTTCGCGCGAGAGGAGATGCACGCTGTAGCCCTCTGCGCTGGGGCAGTTGAATGGTACGCCATCTTCGGGACTGATGAAGCTGTCGTCGGTGAGGTTGATTCCTGGTCCTGGTGCGTCGGACTCGTCGAAGAGGTCGGCGCTATCACTTGGTGGTGCCAGCAGGTCCGGGAAGAAGCCGCGCACTAGCGGGTCGAAAATAAAGATATACACTGGGATCAAGTAGAGGGCCCAAGTGAAGACGGTGGAAAACTTCGGAAGTGACGCCATTCGGTTTGGCTATAAATAGTCACGGGGTATGCAGGCCAAGCAAATGTATAGGGGATATTTTGGACTGCTAGCTCTCCATGCGACCGAGGAAGAGTATTTCGGATGCTACAATTGATCCGTCTCGGGGTATAGATGAAGGCCCATGGGCAAAGAAGAATATGGTCAATAAAGGGTGCAGCGCAGGACCATCCTGCGGAGGAGAGGTTCCAAACGTTTGAGATGAGGAGTGTCGAAATATGTGGGTCTAACAGATTTTGGGCTAGCTCGCTGAGTCTGACTTCACAAATTTTAATTGACGACGAGGTCGATGCTAGAGAAATTTATTCAAAATTTAAAGGTTATATGTAATGGTCTGATTGATTGAGATGTATGTACTTTGTAGTATGTACATGTAGGCTTATGTTCATCGAGCCAACCAGCTCTTCTCATAGAATATATTGACTGGTATTGTTCCGATTTTCCATTTTTCACTCAACAATCGACATTCCAATCGCAAAACACACCCACGAAGCCAGGTCAACCGTCCACGTACGCACACGATGGACGGTCAGCCAACCCTCGAGGTCATTCGTCGACGACCCCTTCGACGTGTCCTCAATGATAGCCTGGACCTTAGGCGCAACGGCAGGCACGAAGAGAAGGTGACTGGCAGCTAATATCGTGCCAGCAGTATACCAAGGCAGGGAGGCTGGGCTAGCCAATCCCGACCGTCGCTCCGTCCAAATGTTATATCCACCTCCTGTTAAGGTTAGGGTAAGGAGGGCCAGCACGCGCACGGTACCGGGGCCGAAGAAGGCCCGGAAATAGGATGGCAGAAGTTCATTGCTGCGGGTGCGGTGGTCTGGGCGGAGGAAGACGTTCAGGAAGAAGTCCTGGTCGAGCGAGTACCAGAGTGTACATGTGGAGGTTATGAGTGGGACTGTACGTAAGAGTGTACGGTGGTCGAAAATGAGTGTACGGGGGTCGAAAAAGAGTCCGGAGGCCATGATGCTTGGAGTAGGGGATAGATGGCGAGGAAAAGTTACAGAGAGACAAGTTGCATTTGTAGCGTCAGTGTCAATTGATGGTGTGGTGTTGGAAGATGAAGGTGAAGCCGTCTTTCGGCGGTTTCTCCCAGTGTTTACAGGGATTATAGACAAATCGCCGAAATGTTGACATAAGGCAGAAATGTCATCACATTCCGACCTAGTTTGGTATTACTATTCCCACTGCCTCTTTTGCGCTTGTCCTGGTCCTATTGTTGTCATTATTGCTCTTGGTCTTCTAGTGTATACTCATGGCGAATTGGACAATGACGTAGAAACGCCTACCATACCAGCCTTGGCTATGTCTTCTGTCCATATAGTCTGGATGCCTCTATTATCTCCACTGCCATACCGATAATTGGCTGATTTTGGATACGGGGATCTGTATACCTGGGTGATCCACACTATCTGTTCTCCTCGGCCGTCGGCCATCTCATCGGCCATCTTTCGCCAAGCATCGATAGTATCCCCTTTGGCTGGTTTGTGAATAAATACATTTACCACTTTATTCAATATTGTAGTGACCTCGGCATTAAATACTACCATTCTTTTGACATTTATGCAATCTCTATGAGCCTATCCCTTCCAGTAGTGATATATTAAGCCTCTTAAAGAGATGCTGAACTGCCATAAACGGTTAGTCACTACCCAAATAGGCCTAGTCACACGTTACACTATATATCGGAAGTCGCTAGAAGAGTCTAACCAAATCCGCTGTGGGGAGAATATGTAAGCATCAGATCCATCATGGCATACATAAGCATAATACATAAGCATACCTCCCGAGGTCAAATATAGCGCGTACCATGAGACAACAGATATGACGTACGACAAGACCTTCGCCAAGAATGTGCCTACTGTATACTCCTTTGGATTGCCTAAAACGGCAATATTCTCCGCGGAACGTGAGAGGCCGGCTCCGAAGTGAAGATTTATATAATTTAGAGTACAGATTTGCAGAGATTTAAGTTCAATTCAAACGGGAACAGGTTGCAGCCATCTTTTAAAAAAGGTGACAGGGGACAATTCAATGTGCATGGTGATCCCCAACACCATCACAGTTATCCCTATGCTTCCGACATGCTGACCACCATTCTACCATTTCCGACACGCTTAGAACAAAACATCCTAGAAGTGTGTACATTGTGCGGTGAAACATAGTAGTTCATGCAAGAGGGTAACTGGACAGCACTTGGTGAACGTAAGCAAAAAGAGAATATCCAGAAACCGCAGATATAGCGTATAGATAGTAGGTATGCGACATATATCCCAACGAGACAGGAAGGCAAGGATCATGGATAGAGAACAGGGCAAATCTCGGACTCTGACTGCCACTGTTGATCTTAGGAAAGGTAATACAAGGCCTCCAGTAGAACATTTATACGTCCTTCGACGAATATATAAACCACAGATATTTCAACCAAACCATGAAATCAACCATCCAATTCCCCAGCAATCACTAAGATATATACAATCTTCATCATGCATTTCTATCAGAACTTCCTGACTCTCCTAGCCTTCGGAGCCACTCTCACGGCAGCGCAGACCCGCGGTGGTGTAAGTGACAACACCAGACCAGGGGTGGATTCTTTTTCTAATATAATATTAGACATTTTCCAAGTCCACTCAACAGTGCACCTTGACTTCCGGCGGCCCAAGCGCCCTTATCGCGGTGTTGGCTTGTCCGGCTCATTCCCAGGTAAGTTATGTTTATTCGTAAACACACAATACCTATGATTGACAAAAATCACGCAGTGCTCCTCGGATGGAAGCGGCTGTACTAGCGCTAGTTACAATCCCGTTGCAGATCAATGCACTTAGCTGGGATGAGGTATCTACTTCCGCAAGTCAAGTGTCCATGGTAGCTTTTAGGACCATGGAACTAGTAACGCCTCCAAGATCCCTTCGGAAGATATTGGGATTGGCTACATGTATGTGGCTAGCAGGCCTTGATGAATGAACGAAATTTTGCCTGAGTTATTTGACTGTAAATCTACAAAATCTACCGTCGACAGCGTGAGCGCAGTGCTGACCCTCATACTTCTTAGAACCAGACAGGGCTAGGTATAACTCAGTCTTCCCCCGGATTCCCCCCTCCAGAAACTTGAAAAAAGTCAAGAGATTCCCATCATTATCCTTGACCGAGAACTGTCTATACCCCCACGGTGTATCCTCAACATCTTCCACAATATCAACATCAATAGATCTCAGATGATTATAATATTCATCCAACTCCGAGGTTCCTAGTGCAATCGTCGCCTGCGACGGGGTGAAATCCCCAGTTGCTTTTGAGAAGTAGAAGTTGGCGTCTGCTTTTTTGCCAATGAATAAGGAACAGAATGTCTGTTCAGAGGGGTCTTCCTCGGATGAGCCTTCGGGTTTTACGCTGGCGAGTTCGAAACCGAGCTTCTCGGTGTAGAATTTAATCGTGAGAGGTATAGAGCGGGATTGGAACATGGGAATTACTTTCCATGCTGATTTTAGGATTTCAGAAGACATGTTGAGACGAGGTTGGGCTTTGTGACTCGTTGAGTGTGTAGGATCACAAGTATTGAGGGGGAAGGACCTGGTATTGGGCAGGAAGGAGCATTGGAGATGTTATCGGAAAAGAGTTGATCCAGTGCTTCAGCTAGGACATACAATACTTCCGAGATTACTTGGATTGAATCAAGAGAACGACCTTCGAATAGAAAGAGGAACACATCAAGGGATATAGACATCTGGTATAGATTTATGTATATAGATAATTGCAAAAGAAAAGCGGGACTCCTAACCCTCAAAACGCCTAGGTATCAACAGTTTTTACACCATTTTGGCTTTCATGATAGCATATCCTCGTAAAAAGCAAAGCAAACAAATATGGTAAACCAGACCAAGCTCAAATGCTGTTGGCATTCATCCACTGAGCCCAATCCTCAGCAGAAGCCCCGTTGCCCGGTCGATAAGCGGCATTGTTGCCAAACAGATCATCAAAGGAGATCCCCAGATCCATATTCATTCCCACATCCACGCCCATTCCGAAATCAGGCACTCCATTTGGACCGGGCATTTCTTGCTGTTGTGGTGCAGACCCGGCTGCCGTATCATTTGGGTTATTGGGCTGGAAATTGTAACCTTGCCAGACGAAATTCTGGTTCGGGATTGAGACCAGGTCTGGACTGCTGATCAATTCTGTCGGGGTCTGGCTCTGCGAGATTGGGGAGTGGATCCGGGATGAAGTTCGCGAATGAGATGGGCGGAGGTGGCTTGGCACTGATGACTTGATCCCTGGGGGATTGGCGATGGGGAAATTCGGGATGTTTGTGAAGTCATAGGTTGGAGTGGAGACCCCTGTGCTGGAGGGATCGCCAGGTGTGGTGGGCCCCATGCCTGGTGTTGAATCGAAGGGATACTGCGATGGCATGCCTGTACGGTCGTGCCGGAAGTGATCATCTTCCAAGGTGGACATGGGCTGTGTTGGGTATGCGAATGGATCGTCTGATGGGAACATCATTGGCATGAGATCTGGGAGATTAGACGGATTGGTGAATTGCTGAGCCCATGCTAGACTTGATGGCTCTTGATTGGGCATGGAGGGCGTCATGCCGGATGAGGAAATATGTTCCGGAGTGGTCATGGTTTCCGTCAGCAGCTCGGGAGCGGTTGAAACCCATGTGGACTGGTGACTAATGTCAGTAGGGCGATTGCTGATAGGCTGGGCATTGTCCAGGCTTCGTTGTCGGCGGCTCTGGTCATCGGTAACAACCGGCTGGGACATCATTTGCATAGGGAAAGTGCTTGACCGATGTGGCAGCGTTTTCTCGAAGGTAGGCTTCGGCTCAGGCTCGACAGTGTCAGATGGCGCGGGCCGCTTGAGGTTGACAGGAGTCTTGGAGCTCTGGCGATTTTTCAACATTTCGGGTAATGTCTTGAAAAGGCACTGTAATATAATTAGTCAAGGCCATTCCAAATTGAAGGCATGGAAACTTACGTTCAGGCTCTGAGAGCACCGGTCGGCAGCAAGACTTTTCTTGGCCAATCCGGCTAGAGTATTTTTGCCCTCCATGGCATCTTTCAGTACGCCATCTTTGGCTGTTGGCGAATCCGGGTTCTCAAGGACGAAGAAGATCAAGGAGAGGATAGCAAAATAGGTCGTATACATGGTGAACCAGAAGGATCCATTGAGTAGTCCTCTCTTTTGCATTCCGGTTGTGATGTGAACAATGTTTCGGGAAACGCTGACACAGGCAGCTGCACAGGCATATGATCGCTTGTCCACACCACGCGCTTGAGAACCACCAGAGACGTAGTGGAGGAACGGGCGGTACATGACCATTTGCACGTGGGCGTAGCTTATACGCAGCAATTGCCGGACGCTAGTTGAATGTTAGTTAAATTGATTCAAAGTATGAGCACCGTAGATGAGACCTACCGTTCTAGCTGGGGCGACACTTCTGTGCCAGGCCGCAGAGCAGGAGGTAATTCCTCCATCCAATTTTGCAGATCCCGCTCGATTTCCCTAATTTTTGAGTGGCTGACCATGTATCGCTGGTCTGACTTGGAGCGATAGCGAGCATTCTTGACTGGGTAGATATATTTCACCACCTTCAGAATGATGTTGGAAAGACGAGTGTGTGCATTGCATCCAGCCATCAGCGGTGTATAGTTAGACGGAGGTTTAGTGATTCCTTCCGAAGTAATGAAATCACCATCCACCTCCATTGGGTACTCTTGATCGATATCGTCGTCACTCAGCATCTGGGGAAGACCCAAGAGCGTGCTCACGTAGACGTCCATCTTGCGGACGACCCAGAAGATCCGCTTTCGAAGTTCTCGTTCAATGGGGTTGAAGTCTGCCGCGACAGAGCGATGGAGACCTAATCGCAGTGCTGAACGAAGTGCAATTCCCACATAGGAGTAGCATGTGCTCAGCTTCGCAGAGGATTGGAGGAAGAGGACCATAAAACAGATTGCTTGGAGAGAAGGCAAGTCCCGACAGTCAGTGACCTCCAGCAGTTGCCGACCGGCCTTGAAGAATTGGAACCTGTCAAATAAATTAGTCGGTGTCATGGATGCAGATTTACTGTGACTTACCCTTGACCTATTGCGCCTTCGTAGCCAGACAAATCGAGTGTACCCTGTCCTGATCCATCGTCCGAGAACAAGCAACCAACGGCGATGACGATATATAAAAGCGGCAAGAAGGAATTCTCTTCGTTCGTGAATTGTTCCGGGGGAGTATCGTAGATGCGCTCCAGACTTGCAAAAAACGAGGGCTCATGCACAAATCGCATCAAGGAGCAGGCATGGTCGATCGCATTGTGACACAAGCGGCGAGCAACCTCTCGCGGAGGCAAGTCATGTGTAGGAGGTAATGTTGTGTCTTGAGGCGACTCGGACATAGACTTTGGACTATCCAGCATATGCGCGGTTATCGAGGGTCGCGATCGTGCCATGGGCCCCGTAATATCTGCAGCGCCCAACTGTTTGCGCAATCGGCGAACAAAGAGAACGCCCGAGGTGTGTCCGTGATAATCCCAATGGCCTTGGTCATCCCGATCTAAGCAGCCCGAATTATCGACCATGGTTTCAAGTAGTCCCTCGTCTCCCCCTTCGTGTGCTGTATCTTGTACAATCACCGGTTTGGCATCTTCGGTCGCTTGTTTTGCTTTTTGAGCGGCTGCGAATTTCTGTTCTGTCGCATGGACATCTAGTTGTGGATCATCGAGGTCGACATTTGGAAGAACAGTTCGAAGGAGAGCTTCAGCTTTTTGGAGCCGATTTTCAAGAGCCTCGACATATTGCGGGGCGGGATTCCGACGGCGGTTGGAAGGTTGGTCGTACGAGCAATCTACAATTTGACTGTTAGGGCGCATGCACTTTTTCCGAGGCTAAACTCCAGGCTCTGCGTACCATAACTATAGACTGTGCAATGAGTGCATGGCTGTTTGCCATCGCACTTGATCTTTTTTCTGCGACATTCATCGCATGCGCGACCAACTCGTCGCCTTTTCTGCGCAGGTAGTGATTTGGGGTCGGGGGAGGCATCATGGGTAGAAGTGTCATGATCGTCATGCGAATATTTGAAATCATTCATGGGTGCGGGATCCTCCTCATTCTCGCCAGAATGAGGGCTCGTCGTAGTCGCCATGACTGGATATCTGAGGTGCGTAAAGTGCACGGATTCATGTAAAGAGAAATGGTGGCCTTGGCGGGCGATCCGAAGTGAATATCACTTATCTCACCAAATGTCATGGATCGGCTTATAAGATAAGCAGAAAGAAAAGCCCCGGAGACAGTGGATACAGCAAAGTCTGACCGATTGAAAGTCCCACTTTAGAATAAAAAGTAGAACTTGGTAATCTGAGGAGGGGGATCAAAGGATCAAAGTTGGGGGAAAATGGAGATAATCCGAGATCAGCGATGATGAAATGATTATTCCCGAGAGCGGTGTGGTAGAATATCAGGGAGTATATAGACCTCGTTCTAAGAAGAATTCTAATTCTCGATAAAATAGATGACCAAGTTCAAAATCGAAAAATAATAGATGACCAAGTTCAAAAAAGAGTTTAGTTTTTTTAGTCATATCGAGTCATATGCCTTACTGCCCAGGTGGCCCCGGTGGAGATCGGGGCTTCACTATGCGCGACGCCGACATAAAGCATGCACATTATTATTATTATTCCTTCTAGAAAATTTCCCTTCGGATTGAGGGAATTTTGGACAATTTCATGTCCAATGAGAATTTGAATAGCCATTAAGGCTTTCATCCGGTCTCCACTATTTGTTTAGTATATCAGGGTTCAACCCATTTTGGGGTGCTTTTTAGAACGGCAGAATAATTAAAATACTTGAATTACAATTACACATTAATCTAACTACATCCATGGATACATAGGTAGATACCTAGGTACTAACCCTTCTGGCGTTCTCAAGAATCCCGGAACAAGCAGAGTCATTTATCAAATACTAGAGCATCGACCTTTTCCCAAACGCCTCCTCCGACACAGCATCGGGCTATCGCTTTGCACCTTCTACGCAGCTACTCTACTCGTATTCACTTCCACACATGGTTTCACCTCATCTAGGGCCGCTTGGTGGCCTATCTATACCTAGAATCTAAATGTACCCCTGTAATTTCCGAGAATGGCTAGCTGTTGCATCTGCTTCCCACTTGTTTCGCAAGGCCTGGGTTTGTCATCTAAATGTGTTTGTATCCAGGGATCGCTACACAATGGAGATTTATATGAAGAAATAATGTATGTGATTCCCATAACATAGGATGAATAGGAGAAGAAAGAGAAAGGAAGAGGGAGAAGATAGGATCTAGCTACTCATCTATAGTTGCTGTCTCCACCGGTACCTGATCCCTTATGTCACCCCATATTGGGGTAAAAACACGCTGGGCTTCCACAATAATTCTTTTCACTACAGTTGCCCCGGTTCCAACAATCAGTCGAATCTCTGCTAGCAGGAGACCGAGAGGAGAAGTTGGGGTATAAGTCGGGGGATGGAGCGCGATAGAGTGGATCAACGAAGTCGGGGGATGGAGCGCGATAGAGTGGATCAACGAAGTCGGGGGATGGAGCGCGATAGAGCGGATCAACGAAGTCGGGGGATGGAGCGCGATAGAGCGGATCAACGAAGTCGGAGTCGGGCCAACTGAAAGCGGGCGAAATGGGAGTGGAGGGCCTTGTAGTTTGAGCCATGGCCACTTCTAGTTCTCTGATTTGTTTGGAATGGCTCTCTCCCATAGCCTCTAGCCTCTTTTCTTGTTCTCGTTGAGCCTGAACACTTTGAATTCGCTGCATTTCGATTTTCTCCTCCATATGTTTTCGATTTTGAAGATTTGTCTGTTGATATGTCGCTAATTGTTCGGCGTGCCGCTTTCTCTCTCGTTGAAGGATTGTCTCGCTATTCCTCTTTTGCTCGTTGAAAAACTTTTGGGCGGCGCTGGCAGTCTCCAGCTCCTTCGCAAACATTCTTGCCTGTGTTTCTTGGGCCTGAGCGCTTTGTATTTCTTGCCGTTTGAATCTCTCCTCCATATGTCTTTGATTTTGAAGGTTCGCCTGTGCTTGTTGAGCCATAGCGCTTTGTATTTTTTGCTGTTCAATTTTCTCCTCCATCTGCCTTTGATTTTGAAGGGTTGCCTGCCGTTGATATGCCGCCAACTGTTCGGCGTGTTGCTTTCTCTCTTGTTGAAACATTTTCTCAAGAGCTGCGAATTTCTCCTGATGCATTGTTTCCATGGTCACTTTCAATGCCCTTTGGCTCCTCTCCGACTGTATCATGTGCGCCCTGAGTTTGTGTTGCTCGTCACGAAGCAACTGATAGGATTCCTGATCCTTCGCTGCTAGAGCTCGCTCCATCTCTAATCTCGTCTCGGCAAATTCCTTCCTCCATTTCTCCCGTTCTTTCAGAATCGCGCCTTCTACCTCTTTTCCAGCCGCAGTCTCGTCTAGCCCTTTGTTTTCATTGACCATCTCATTTTGGATTGCGAGAGTCATTGGGTGATTTGACGATTTGGTACTTGCAAAGATATGGATCAGTCGCATTGCGGACTCTTTTGTATTCATGTGCCGACGAACTTGCGATCCTTTGTTGATCATAAATCCCCAGAAATCGGGTGTGTTTATGAGCTCTGCTTCTCGTTTCTCGGCATCAGCTAGAGCAACATCCTCCCACATTGTTGTGGCGAGGATAACGTTCTTGGCAGCATCTTCGCCGCAAAGCTGCTTGAACATGCGAAAATTTTTCTTTGCTGACCCCTGCATCCGGCGATCGGTAATTCTATGGAGGTAGATAATCCCATGTAGTATCACCTTGTTGGCGAAAGAGTTTGTAAGCCATGTTGCTATCTCGCGTAGGATATCGGTGTCACTCCTATTAGTATCATCGAAGCCTGGAGTATCCACCAGATATACGCTGACTGTATCACTATATCTGCATTGGTACACCTCAACTTCTTGGGTGCCTTGTAGGAATGATTAGCCTAATATCCACCAAGAAGACTTAGGACTTCCTCGAAGGAGAGGTTCTCACAAGCTTGTAGAGCATGCCCTATATTGACTGCTTTCTCGGTGAGAAGTGAAATGAAAGTGCTTTTTCCAGCCCCTGTAACCCCCATCACAGCAATGAATATATCTGTACTCCGAGGTTGAAAGCCGTCTCGAAAATCAAATGCAGGTCCTTCAAAGGGCGGAGCCTTGGTGTCATTTGAGATTGAAGATTTCGAAGCCGAGTCGCCAAATCGCAGGCTTAATCGAGACTTTTTCTTGTCATTGCCAGGGGGGTCAATTATAGGCTTCTTCCCGGTACTTCTTGAAGAACGGCTACTAAACATCCTAGGAGCGGTGAACACCTAGAGAATAGATTGAGTGCCGATGAACGTAAACCGAGACTCAAGTGTTCTCTGAGTAATTCTTTTTCTGGTATACAAGAGAGAAGAAGTACTGCATAATATAGAATTCCCAATCATCCTATTATTGGTTAGGGCAGATTTTCAAAGGAAAAGAAATCTTAGTGCCTCTATGCTTATTACGCTCAGTCCCCGTCCTGTGACGTGGACACCGCCATTTTTCAATGTGATGAGAATGCCATGTCACGAACGCTGTCCGAATGACCATTCAGCGTGCAGCGCATCCTATGCAGAGCCTCACTGTGCTATCTCAGGGACCATAAAGGCCTCGCCGACAGTAAGTGTGACCCCCGCTGACAGTGCAACTAGTCCCAATCGGATTGTGTCTGTGGGTAGGGAGAGTGGGTTGAATACGAGCGAAACATGTTAGTTTCACCTAATACCGTTTCCATGAATACAGAATAACGAGGGATGTTTTCAAGATGTATAAATAATAAACAATTTTATCCAGGGACCCGAACGCATGACACAGTTAGGCTCTTGGACCTTGCGGCGCAACGAAAGTCAAATGTCCTCAGATCTCATTTCCAACAACCCCAGGGGTTGCAACTGTATTGCATCCTGCATACACGCCACTTTGCTTTTTCTTCCAGTAATGTGAATACCAATAATTTATATTAATTGATTGATAGTATGCATCTCTCACCTTTTTCTGTATTTAACAGACTGTATGCATTTGAAAGAATACTGTATTTCAAATCGGTGGCGTGCATGCAGGATGCATGCATTAGGGGACCTTCTCGCCCGGGCTGTCGTGGCAGGGTACTATGACTGTATAGTACTATGTAACGTCAGCAGAATTTCTAGCAGATTATATACTGCATAATGTGGAAATCATTGCTCAATCTTGTTGATGTACGTGACTAGAAGCAATGTTCAGCTTTCGTGCTCCCAACAACTTGTCAACACCCTGGCACTCAATGGGAATTTACTGGATCAACTCAATGAACTGTTGTATCGTTTTCATCAATAATACATGCAATTGTGTAATATAAAGCAGGATAGCTGATTATTTCTACCCAAACTACCCGCTATAAGATACGAGTAAAGCACGCACTTCATCTGCACATTTGAATCTCCCCCGTTTAAGAGTCTTATTAGTGCTCAGTCTGGTAATTTGTCTGCGCTGCATGGCGTCTATCAGAAAACCGGAAGGTCCCGAAGTAGTCAGAAGTGTTCTAATACTAGAGGACTTCTCAATGAGACTGGTAATGTAATCTCTATGAAGGATCAACGCAAGAAAATCTCGTAATACTGATGGATACGTGTCGGAGGACGCGTGCGACAAATCGCTGTCCAGCTTAACGCTCCTTACCAATAAGTTGAAATCTTCAATGATAAGGATCGCTCGATATGATGAGGGTAAGACTGTATCGACGATATGTTGGATTAGCGTAACAGCCGCCCGAATTGACGTCAAGGTTCCATCCAATTGCTTGATGGCGTCGCACTCCAGAATGAGGGCTAATGTTTTTGGATTGGTTGCATCAGTTATGAGATAACCCAGTAACTGGGATAGGTAACAATAACACAAGGCAAGTAGCATTGTTGGTGAAGCAATATCATCGCCATTTGCGTCCAACCTGCGACAACGATAATATACGACTGGGAGTTCCAAATCATGGCTAACTCGCATTATGACTTTGCTCAAAATTGTCGCATAACTTTCACAAAGCCAGAGGGAACGTGGTGAAGAGGAGCTGGAGCCAGACGAAATTGTCTCTGCTGATCCTAACCATGCACCGACCACACGAGTTGTGGCTGAGTCCATGCGGAGTGTCGAAATTTCCGACGACCTGCTGGAGAAGCCCTTTGAAAACGCTGATTCAATGCCGTAGGGCTGAAGCTTTGCCACTAAAGCAGTAATCTCACTTTCGTGTTGCGCTGTTCCAGTTTCAATCATGGGCTTCGCATCCAGTGGCATTGGCATCGGTCTGGCTGCGGGTATCTCACCCATGACCAGAACTATATCGGTCACAAGAGTACGAAGCTCAGTGCATATAGCGAATGTTTGATCTTGTTTGAAAGTGACACGATCGAGTTTCAAAGACAAAGATTGGTGGGCGCGTCTTTGATTTTCCTTACAGTCAACCCTCTGCAATGACGATCGCAGGATAGAAAAACACATTATAAACTTACATATTATGATTATGGGAAACTGTATTCAACTGCGTCAAGTAACCCATCACCTCCTCCTTTCGTTTTTTGACGTCAGTCTCCGTCAAAAAATGCCATCGCAGCTTGTCTCCCTGACGCTTCATTTGGTCAATGATTGGCATTGATGATGGCTTTTGATCGAGACGCATGTATTTCTTTAACGCACTTTCAAACCGTAGAACGGATTTCTGCAAATTCATGATGACTTCGTTCAATATATTTGCTTCATCGGCCGTGAAACGTGGGTTTTCATTGCCATTGTCGGGTGTCGTCCAGGATAGTATCAGGTCCAGGTTCGCATCGAGAGTCCTCAAGAAGGACTTAAAGTCCTGGTACTCTTCTGTGCTGCTCGTCAAGGCATCATATACTTCACGTGAGAAGGAGAGGCTTGCTATGATATCGCCACTGCTCCAGCCGAAGGACATGTCTGCAGTAATTCAAGGAAGATGTTGTAGAAGACTAAGATTTCAATCCACCCCATTCTATAAAATAAGTAGGGTGAGAGGTATGTGAGCTCCGTAATACCCAGCTATCTTTGTGTACTCAGTCCAGCTAAGCTAGATGAATTCCAGCCCAAGTCAGATACGGATGCGATACGTCTCGGCGTAATCTTTTATTTGCATAATTTTCGGAGCCGAGTCAAAAAAAAAGCAAAGACCAAATTGACTAGAGTGAAATCGGATCTCACTGCCTGAGATCTACGGCCGCATTTCCGTCTGTATCAGCCCCAGACGCCCATTCTCGTATTCTGTCATTTTCGATTTATTAGATATATCTAGTTTATTCGCCTACGGATCTCCAATTCAGATCCTCTCTTAGCCCGAATTACTTTTAATTCATACGAAAGATAATACGACAAAATATAAGCAATCCTTGGAAAAGTTATCCAAAATATGGAGACCAGAAGGCCGATTCCACCCGCGAAAAGCCCCAGATTAGCAGGCCGGCCTCTATCCCCATCTTCGAGTACCGGGGAGACCAATAGTCCATGGTCTTCTGTGAAACCAACAGTTCCTCTAGGTTAGTATTGTCGCTTTGAAATTGACCTAACCGATCCTAATTTTACTCGCCAATAGTCAACCCTGGAACAAAAGATGTAGAGCTTTACCAGGCTCCAGGGACCCATGTCAGCTCCCCCAAACAAGATCAACCAATGCAGCTATCCAATGCACGCGTGTCTACGGTACATAAGGAATACACCCTACCTATTCTTTATAAACTGTCGTGCATGGATATGGAGCATCGAGGCACAATAATAAATCGGTTTAGCGAACAGGCCTTTTCAGGCTTTGACCACGAGCTTGACCAACCCAACCGTCAAGATCTGGCCGTGATTGATGTGATATCGAGCGTCCATGGTACATTCCCCGAAGGCAAACACAGGCGCAAGAATCAATCACGAAAAAACTTTGGGACCCCTTTACTGGAAGATGATCGAGCCCCATTTGAGTTAGGGAAGGACTTCATTGTACGCTCGAAAGACAGGGCTCCTTCAATCAGGGTCTTCTCTCCGCAGATTATTGAGCATATACGAAACGAGCTACGATATTATCCTACACTGAATATTCCCGACATTGAGCTTATTGTCCACCCTCCTTACGAACCCTTGGCCTTTTGCCATGATGGGCTCGTAGCTGCAGCACAGGATGTGGACAAAAATCTGCCCTCACCTGATGAAGTCAGCAATTTGGGCAAGACTCGAAACCACTTTCGTGTGCTTTTAGATTGGTTTCAGCCTTACTACCAGAAAGAGATAGAACCGGAAAAAGATGTCCATCGGAGGGGCAAAGCAACATTTCCAAACCTCTGGCTCTTATACAAACCAGGCTCCACCGTCTTTGCGGGCCAGGGCAAATCCATCAGTTTTTACAAGGTCTTGTCTTTCTCTCCCAAAGACGAAAAGCACGAACGACGTTGGGTGCTGTCTGTCTGGGGATTAGATTTCAATGGGCTAAGACTGGGCCGAAGAGCCAAGACATTTGAAATTGCCGAGTTTGAAGGCGAGAAAGCTATTAAGCAGTTGCCCGTGAAGCCAATTCGACACATGGAACAAGATGATGGGGATGAAGAGGCCCTTACCGAACGCGGAAAGTCATACTACCAAATTATTCGACAAGCTCCCGTCCATCTGCAGTACAAGGGAGCTTTGAGCGGAAATAATCTCCTGCAATACTCGGGGAAAATAATGATTGATCCTACAAATTATCCTGCGAAACCGAGGTTATCATCTAATTCCCACCTGCGCATGCTGGGGACAGCTGCACCGTCATCCCCATCATCTCTTGATAAAAGAGACATTGCCTCTGATTTTGAGGAGCCAAAAGATATGGGTGGAGGTCCTCTGTACTCCAAATTCAATGACGTGGTATTGTCGGAAGAAATACAGCCAGGAGATGAGGAAATGTATCTTCTCATGCCTAGCAAGATTCGGGGTTTTGCCCTGGGCAAAAACCAGTGGGCGGAATTTGACATCAGCGGCGTCTACGCGTTGGATCCAATGTCGGCACCATTCGGGAGTCTAGCGATAGGAGACACAGAATTACATCTAATTCGGGCTTTGGGTCTCACCGACTTCACCCTGGATAGAGATGATACTTTTCGGAATGACTTTGTTCAAGGAAAAGGCTTGAATCAGGTCATTCTTCTGCATGGGCCTCCCGGGGTGGGCAAGACGTTGACCGTGGAATGCCTGGCCGAGGAGCTAGGAAGACCGTTATTAAATCTTACCGTTGCCGACATTGGAACAAAAGAATCGGAGATGGAACATCGACTCGCAGGTTGGCTTGACCTCGCCCAGCGCTGGAACGCGATCGTGCTCATTGACGAAGCCGATATATATCTCGCAAGAAGGGAACGAAACGAGCTACAACGTAGTGCGTTGGTAACAGCCTTCCTACGCACTCTGGAATATTTCATAGGCTTGATGTTTCTCACCACCAATCAACCAGGATTTATCGACGATGCGTTCAACTCCCGGTTTCATTTGATAATTGAGTATCCGCGATTGAACGAGGAGCAAAGGACTACCATTTGGCAAAGCTTCCTACATAAACTACACCGCGATCAGGGACAGCACAACCAACCAACCAAGATCCGGATCAACGTGCTCGGTGATGTTCAGAACTACTTGACTACGAACACAGATGTCAAGGCGCTGGAGCTCAATGGACGGGATATCCGCAACGCGTTCCATGCGGCAATTCAAATAGCCATCCACAGAACAGATGAGGAGAACCGGAAGCGGTACCGGAATCAAGGAATAGGGCAGCCGATGACGGATGTAGACCTCACGGTCAATGATATAAAGAAAGTGATTGATAACAAGGCCGCATATCGAGCATACCTGACCAACGTTCACGGCCAGAATGAGGAAGAGCGCGCTCTAGATTATGGAGGCCGACGAACTTGAACAACAATGGGCATCGGGGGGTTATGAGTTTACCATCATGAATTTTATGTGTTTGAATTGATTGTCTCTGCACTTGTACACTTTTAAGTGATATCTAAGTATCTATGGGGATATATCTTAGATCTCTCTGACCTCCATACAAACCTAGGTATTTCAATATTTCTGGGTGTCTACCAGTCTATAAAATGAACCTTTTGATCCCACACAAATCTATGCATCTCCATAATTCTAGGCGGCTTACTAGTTCACAATTTATGAACTTGAAGCTTTTGATCCCATACAATATGGAGTCCCCTGGATTTGTATGGACACAAGGTTTAGGGCATGGTGTATTAATAATTTACAGTACACTGTATAGAGCGGTGTAGAAGGCGGTGCTAATTCAGGCACCAAGGCACCACACCTTCCGAAAATGGAGCTATACCGCTTCGTAGATCGGGGCTTCACTATGCGCGACGCCGACATAAGGTTTCATGCATATTGTTCCTTATTATTCTTATTATTCCTTCTACTCCGTAGAGAGTTTCTCCTCGGACTGAGGCATTTTTAGGTAATTTCACACTCAACGAGCATCTGAATAGCCGCCGTTCCCTCGCTGTCAAGGCGTTAGCCCCGGTATCCACTGCCCGATTTGTTTAGACTCGGCCTGTTGATACATATACCGACTTTCTATCTTTGAGGGTCTACTTTGTATGTACTATATGTTGTGTATTGCTTCCACATATTGGGCCGTTTGAAATCGAACTGCAGCCTCGTGTCGGGTAGGATATTATGATCTTATTAATGGGGTCTCCTTGATTGTTTTCCCGATGTACCTACATGTACCTACATGTCGGAATTTGTACGGACTCCTACCAATAGCCAATTTCGATGACTAGTTAATGCATACTAACCTAGCAAAATATGATGACCGGGAACTATTATCGTTCTTGTATCTCCGGTTCTCCGGAGTATGACATCAGATAACTACAAATCGATTTCTATGTTCCATACAAAAGAAGCACACAGTACGAAGTACAGAGCACAAGTACAGTCCTGGACCCGTGAAACCCTTGCGCTGTCATCATGAAGGGGCCATGTATAGGAGTCTTCGAAACAAGGCAGCATGCGTCAAAATGCTTTGACAGCCCTGTGACGCGAGACATGGAGAATGCAAACATCGAATGACCTCACTCTATAATTGAGAGTCTTTGGCAATCCGTTTTGAGGGTTGCCGAGGTTAGGGTTCACGATGAGCCTCATTGATACATGTACTAGATTAATAGCCCCTGTATGCCAAGCTGCGTTATAATCGGTCAGAACTATCAATTAAGCTATATTAAATATCCCCTATAGTTATGTTAATCGTTTTATTCATGAAACGAACCATGACGATCCCTGGCATCCCGCATGGCATTCCATTCCCCCTGCGGCACGTCCCACTTTCCTCAAGGTAGATCGGCATGTAAAACAACGCGACTTTCTCTACGCTTTATATGGATCGCCTCGTTCCTCTAATGCCAATTTTCACAGGCTATGGAGCAACGCGACACATACTATGACTTTCTACCTCGTCACCTTCTGCTGCGCCTTCGCTGCGCTGGGATCATTCCTGTTCGGCTATGATTCCGGCGTGATCTCTTCCAGTATCGAGCAAGAGGCCTTTCTGCGCCAATTCGGGTCCCCAACTCTATCTGACACAGCCGCCGAGGTCATCATTTCGTCGTATACCGGTGAGACTCTATATCCGTCAGATCTTACCGCGATCGGGATCTAATTTTCGCGATCAGGTGGCGCAATCGTGGGCTCGGTCCTCGTCCCATATATTTCGGATTACTATGGTCGACGAATGGCTCTCCTCATCGGCGGTCTTCTTGCCGCTCTGGGTGCTGGCCTACAGGGAGGTGCGGTTAATATCGCGATGTTTATCGCTGGTCGATCTATCGCGGGTCTGGCAATTGGGCAGATGTCTGCTACTATTCCCGTTTATTGTGTAAGTCGAATACACACGGACCTGCTGCTAAGCTTTATCTAACGTGAGCCCAGAGCGAGGTCGCCCCGCCACAGATTCGGGGGATGTTGGCTAGTATGCAACAATGGATGATTGGCTTGGGGTTCGTGGTTGCTGTGAGTATAATCCATTGGATTTTGCCATAATACAACTGACAGGTTTCAAGCAATGGGTGGGATACGGGTGTTCCCTTCGAGGTGGCGCCTTTTCCTGGCGTTTTCCACTCTCCTTCCAAGCCGCGCCAGCAATAATTCTCACCTGTGGCAGCTGTTTCCTTCCCGAATCGCCAAGATGGCTCATCGAAAAGGGCAGAGAGGGAGAAGGCCGCTCAGTCCTCGCCCGACTCCATCTCAACCAAAACGCAACCAACAACCCGCTACTCGAACACGAGCTCTTCCAAATCCAAGAGAGCCTAGCATCCGAGAAGCAATTCGCCGTACGATCCTGGCGCCAACTCCTTCTCTCCCCGCGCTGGCGACACAGGATCATCCTAGCCTGCGGCTTACAAGTATTCACCCAGTGCTCCGGCACAAACGTAATCTCAAACTACGGCCCACGACTCTTCAAAACGCTCGGCCTTACAACATTATCCTCCATAATGATAATGGGACTCTGGGGCGCGCTAGCGCTGTTTTGGAACACGGTCTTCATGCTCTTCATCGACAAAATCGGGCGTCGGAAACTGCTCATCCCATCACTACTTGGCATGGGAGCATCCCTGTGCATCGAAGCCACGCTCGCGCGGTACATCGATTTCAACGACCCCAGCGCCAACCCACATGCTCTTCGAGCTGCCATCGCCATGTTCTTCGTCTTCTCGTTCTTCTTCACTGCTATCGGCATGATCTCCTGGATCTACCAGTGTGAGATCTTCCCCACGCCCATCCGAGCGCGCGGCTCGTCCATGGCGACTGCCACGAACTGGAGTGTTAGTCTTATCTTCACGCAGTGCTCGCCTATCGCACTGACGAGCATGGGGACCAATTATATTTATTGTTTTGTTGCGTTCAATTGGGCGGCGATGGTCGCTGTTTGGGCGTTTTATCCTGAGACTGCGGGTCGTTCTCTTGAGGGGGTTGAGGAGGCTTTCACAGCACAGTTTGCTGATGAGCAGTCGGTGCGCTCTTTTGTTGTTGAAGATACTCCGGTGGCTATTACGCCGCGATCGCAGATTCGGCATAAGGGGATGCATCCCTTGTCGATGCATCCTACTTATGACACTGTCAGTATCGGGAGCAGTCGCAGTGGGTCTGATATTGAGATCGGAACCAAGGAGGCTTAGATTGTAATTGTACGATATAGAATTTATGAAGAGACGAAATGAAGTCAAAGAAGCAACCATTGATGAAGAAATATAAAAAGGTATTATATCATCCGCGCCAAAGTTTAATGGGTAATAGGCTTTGTGTAGATGGATGCTTAGTACATCTGCCTACGCAAACTCAGTTTCTGCTTCTGCAAAATACGTCAAATATCTTGGATGTCACGGTATCGTGCTGATTGTTGATATACGTAGTGGTATTGCTGTTTTTTCCAAGTCGAATGATCGGACTCGTCTTGCTGAGAACTTGGATGTGCTGGGCTTTGATATGACGCAAGTAGATTGAGGCTGTTTCGGCTTTGGATAGGGGTCTACGGTTTAATGATCCTGGGGTTTACTTGCCTAACTACCCTCTTCGGAGTTTTGCTTGAATGGGATGAGAATGTGATAGAAGATGGATTAGCATAGTGTTTCATCGGGGCCACCTGCTGCTTTGAACGCGGAAGTTGATGATACTATGTCCCGGTGGCGGTTTCTTGTGGAATGAGAGCATATGGGTTTGAGTGCATGGGCAAAGCGCGTGTGGAAATCCAGTATTCAATACTCTATACAATATATCCCTTCTACCTCTATGTGGTCGTCTATTTTTGTGTGAATCAAATCAAAACCCCTAGATCACAACTAGCAACAGATAATTAACAGCGAGTCATACAAAACTCATAAAACATTTGGCAAATTGCCGATATCGCTTAAATAGGCTCATCACGAGGCTCAACAAGGATCTCATTGACAGAGACATGCTCAGGTTGAGTCAGGGCGTAAACAATGGAGTTGGCAACATCGGAAGGATCGAGGATCTTCGCTCCGGTTGGCTCTCCGAATTTCTTGACGGCTTCAGCATCCGTCGACATGCCCAGCAGGTCTGTGGACGTGTTTCCGGGCTGGATACTCGTCACGCGCAAGCCAGCGCCTGCGGTCTCGAGGCGGAGGGCTTGGAGGGTGGCCTCGACGAAGAACTTGCTGGCCGAGTACACACCGAGACCAGGGAAGACCTTACGTCCAGCATCGGAGGAGATGGCGACGACATGGCCGCGGCCGCGCGAGAGCATACCAGGAACTGTCGAAGAGAGAGAGTGCAAGAGACCCTTGCAGTTGACGTCGACTGTGCGCTCCCACTCGTCCATCTGGGTGTTTGCCATCATGGTGAAGTACATAACACCAGCGCAAGCAACCAAGATGTCGACTGGACCGAGCTCCTCGCTTGCTGCTTGGACGAGAGCATCCACTTGAGTCTTGCTTGTGACGTCGGTTGATCGGAGGATACACTTGACGCCGTGAGCTTCGACCTTGCGCTTGGTGCTCTGGAGAGCATCCAGGCGTCGAGCGCCAAGGGCTACAGCACAGCCCTGCTTGGCTAGGGCGGCTGCTACCGCCGCACCGATGCCCGAAGAAGCACCAGTCACCACAGCGACTTGGCCGCTGAGTGGCCCCTTCGCAACCTCTGTGGGTCGGTTGAGGGCATGCTGACGAGATGGGGCCCGGGGTAGCCATCCTCGAGCAAACCAATGCCGAGTGTAAGTCTCCAGCAACAGGCCATCCACCTTGGGACGCTCGATAACGGCCCGGAAAGGCCTGGTCAAAGCGTTATCAAGGACCACGATGTCTCGGAGGAACTCGACAGTCGGCATGCCGCTGCGAAGAATGTCGACGGTAAACGAACCATCGCCACCCTTGGCTGAGCCTCTCTTCTCGAACCACAGGGCTACCCACTCATCCCATGGGAGAGGTTGTGTCTCATAACCAAGCTCTTTGAGGTCCTCAAAGACCGATCGAGTATTGACCGGCGTAGGATCTCCGAGATGGAACACCGTTTGGTCTGTCTGAGTCTGAGTGGCCAGATGGACAATAGATTTGCTGACAAAGTTCACAGGGGTCATCTCGGCACGCCATCCTTCCACGTCTGGGGCGTATCCAAGCTGGATGGATTCCACGATCAATGCAGTGAGCAAATCCCACGCATTGGCGGAGCCTGTGACACTGTGACCACTGATGGTACCACACCGGTGAATCTTGACTGGCAATCCACGCTCACCAGCCTTGAGAACAAGCTGCTCTGCAACCCACTTTGTCTGACCATAGCCATCGAGCAGCTTTTTGGGGACATCTTCCACGTCCAGAGTGGTAGTTTCGGGCCAGCCATTCTCACCGGATGGTGGCAAGACGCCATTGGTAGAGACATACTGCACGGTCGCGCCACCCTTGGCGGCCAGACGAAGAATCTCTCTGGTTCCACCTACGTTTGCTCCCCGAAGTGCAGCGTAGGGGTAAACAAGGTTGACGGTGGCCGCAGCATGAACAATCACTTGGACACGAGCGGCGATGTTCTCAAATTCTTCCGGACCCAGACCCAGTCGAGGCCGAGACAGGTTACCTGGTAGAATTTCGAGACGCTCCAGAATAGAATCGCGCCAGAGTCCCATGTCCAGGAGGTTCCTGCGGATTCGAGCCACACCTCCGGCTTGATCATCCTGTTCGGGGTCACTGAAACGCACAAGACAGATAATTTTGGCCGAGGTGTTCTCAATCAGATCATTGAGCAGGAAAGCGCCCAGGAAACCAGTCACACCAGTCAAAAGGACCGTGTCAGCCGAGGCAATTGAAGTGATCGCAGTATTTGTGGGCTGAATATCCTCGTCCAGTGTGGCATCGGAAAGCAGAACCGCGGGCAGATTTGCTTGTACTTCTTCGGTGTGGCCATCTCTGACAGCACGCACAGTCTCCAAGTGGCCGGAAAGAGTTGTGTTCTCTGCAAGACGAGGAATAGGAACACGGAAGCCGAAACGTCTGGAAAGCTTGGATGACAGGTCCGCTAGAGACAAAGAATGTCCGCCCAGGTCGAAGAAATTATCTTCGGCCTTGATCAGGCTCTTTGAGACTTTCAGAACAGCCTCCCAGATTGCTGCAATGTCACTGAGACCAATCGGGTCCTTCCCACCGCTTTGCTCACTGCCGTTAGGGCTGGAGCTACGAGGTGAAGGAAGGTTCTTCATATCGACTTTGCCGGAGACCTCATTAGTAGGCAACTGATCCAGTGCAACCCATAGGGCTGGGATCATGTATTGCGCGAGACGGTTCTCAAGGACACGACGCGCGCTGGGGCTGTGGCCGGACTCGTTGATCACGACTGAAGGGCGATCAGAGGCAGCCTCCTTGTCGGGGACAACATATGCGACCAGTTGGCGTTCCAGTCCATCGCCGTACGCAGTGACCACGCACTGACTGACAGCCAAGTACTGGCAGATGTCACTTTCGACCTTTGCCGGCACAACGGAATATCCGCGCAGCTTAATCATTGCGCCGACACGACCAGTGATTTCAAGGAACCCAGAAGGCAGCTTGCGGGCCAGATCGCCCGTTCTGTACATACGAGCACCGGGTGTCGAATCAAAGGTGTCCGGAGCGAAAGCCTTGGCGGTGGTCTCGGGGAGGTTAATGTATTCCCGCGCCAACAGAGGACCTCCGATAAAGAGTTCTCCCGATGTTCCTTCCTCTACCTCCTGTCCATCCTCGTTTAGAACGTAGGTATGTGAAGGAACAATCGATGGGCCGACCGGGCAGTAAATAGAGTCGCCATCAACCATATCACGAATATCTCCGCAGGCAATCTCATGCGTTTCACACGCACTGTAGCAGTTGAGCAAGCGGGCATTGGGAAGAATTTTAATGGCCTTGCGGGCAAGATCGGTTGTCACCACCTCACCGTTCAGCCAAATGATGCGCAGATCAGGCACACGAGTACCGAATCTGGGATAGCGTGAAAGAACGGTAGCCAATAGAGTGGGTGTCATGAGTGTTTCGGTGACCTTCTTAGCCGAGAGCAGATCAACCAGAGCTGCGGGGTCATAGCTCGTTTCGTCGGGCACAATAACCACCGTAGCTCCACGCAGTAGCGGCCGCAACATCTCCCAGATGAAGAAGACATTACATGCCACCCGATCCCCTGGTTGTACATCCTGCACTGCAAATCTCAAATCGTATGATAGTACCGGGGCGCGGTGTGGATTGGCGATTCCCTTTGGTTTTCCTGTTGTTCCTGACGAATAAGATACAAACGCCAAGCGGTCCAAATCATCATCTGCCGGCAACGGAGAAGGTTCCTTGGCGTGTCCATTGATCTCGGCCACGGGCGCATCCAAGGCAATTAGCGGCACCGGCGCTTTGATTTTATCGGCTTCGGACTTGTGGGTGATAATGACGGCGGGACTAGCGTCTTCGATGACATCCGCCAAGAGGTCCGCGGGGTAAGCCAATTCGAGAACAAGGAAGGCACCACCCGCACGGAGCGCTGCTAAACAAGCAATCACGTAATGTGCGCTGCGAGGAAGGAGTACACCCACGAGGGTGTCACGGCTCACTCCATAGGTTCGTAGGCGACTGGCAAGAGCCTCAACTTCTTGATCCAGCTGGGTATATGTGTATGTCGTGGTCTCATCTTCCAGGGCGATGGCATCTGGGGTTGCCTGCACCTGTCGCTTAAAGAGTGTGGGCAAATCCTTGGTGATGTCGAGGATAGCCATTTCGAATCACGCTATAGTCAAACGCCAAAGTTCACTAAATAAGGGGATGTGAGTGTAAAGTTGTGATCATTGGAATCTGTACAATGGAGAAAAAGGCAGAAAACAAGAAATTTTGTTGAGATTCTAAGAGCTTCGAGAGATGGAACCATTAACCTTTCCTGGGACACCGTCGCGTGGGGTTATCTCCGGGGCTTATCGCGCCTCCAGATTTTCTCCAACATTCCAAGTTCACGAGGTATTATTTCAATGTTCTATTACATGTTATATTAAAATATCATGTTCATTATGGTTCAATCTTCTCTCTATACTCTGTACTCATTCATCTTAGATCATACTTTACCCTCAACAATAATAAATCACATGTAATTTTGGCCCCCACTTAAAGATTTGCATGTGAAAGTCCCCTTTCCCAACACTTTGGGTCCCCCTGAGAGCGTCATAGCTTACAAGGTTTGCAATGTGGCAACTTACTAGCCCTTTAAAATATTTTTTTAATAACGATGCCCCCTAAAGAATTGCCGTGGCGCCGATCTGGGCGCCGATATAGGTGCGAACTGGGCTGAAATCCAGGCACCAAAACGCACGGACCACTTTAAGCATCCCTCCAGGGCTGTTCTTTTCTACCTTTTTTTGAATGTACTAACAGTATTGTCCTGGACAGGCAGTGGTGTAAGTGACAAATCCCTCAAAATATCTTACAATAAGGCTTCATCTTCAGGCACAAACTAAGAATCTTGGTACGATCGGCGTTGTCTGTCGCATACTTATGGAGCTCTCGACAAAACCCATCAACAGAACCGTTAACTAAAAAGATCATCCAGAACACCCATCTACATTTGCAAATATAGTTCACATTGTCGCCAAAAAAAAATAAAGTCTGATACAATGTATCAAACCACGTGCCCACATGCCTACCTAGGAATAGTGCCACGGCACGGAACTTCCCGAGATCTTACCTGGGATCCTGCGATATTCCAAGGTTCGTACATAAGCGATGGTTTTTCCCCTATAGGTTATCCATAGATATGTTGAACGGATACACAATAAAAGCTTGAAATATTAATGCGATATATAAATATTAACTGAATCCTGATGTTACATCATCTATGGAGCAATTGACGACTATAAAGCTGCAAGTGTACCTTTCACGTGTCCACAATATCCATTGGAGATTTGCACATCGCTCGGGTCATCGTGAACATAAGCCGTGCCATAATTAGAGCCAGCTGAGCACGTGCTTCCTGTAGTCACATAGCAGTAGGACAAAGGCCCGTAATAGTAGGAGAAAGCGCAAGTGGGATCTGTTATGCAGGTGACACAGCAATGGTATGCAGAGTCGGTGTTACCGACCCCAAGATTCTGGCCAGGGACATGGCTGACCTCGAGTGCATAGATGTATTTGCCTGCGAACGGGCCGTAGTCTGAAGAGAGAGGACTGCCAGCGATGTTGTTGGTGGCACAGGCAGCGTAGAAAGATGTGGTGGTTGTGCCCGCTAGAACAGTGGTAGTGGAAGTGACTGTGGTTGTTTCAGCAGGAGTAGATGTTGTCTCGGTGATGGTTGAGGTGGCGCTGAAGCTCAGTGTAGTGGAGACATCTGAGGGAACAATCACTGAGCTGCTGGTGATGGTGTTGATGATGGTCACTCTGGTGGTAGGAGTAGCGGCGGTGGAGGTAACGGGTGATCCAATGATAGTGGAGACAGTTGTGGTCTTGATGATCTTCTTCTCATGGCACACGACTGCTTGAGGATACTTCCAATCATCCACCCAGGGAGAGCAATCTTCATTCTCTTCCAATGAGCGCTTGTAAGTAACAGAAGGAGGTAGAGTGTCTACAATCGGAGTGAAGCCTGCAGAGGTGGCAATTGTTGAGGTGCTAGTCGAGGTACTCGAGAAGACTTCGGCGACGGTTATGGTGACAGGAGCAGGGGTTAGAGTCAATGTCGCAGTGTCAAACTCAGTTGAAGTTGTTGAGAAGGTATCGGTGATTGCATCAGCCGTGGAGGTGATGATAGTGGTTTCATAGTCCGTCACTATCTCGGTCGACACAGCAGGGGTGACCGTAACGGTTTCCAGAATTGTTGAGAGGACAACGACGGGGGTACGGTCATGGATCGTTCGAGTGATGGTTGTGGTAGGCACAACCTTCACCGAGCTAGTTCCTAGCTCTGTTCGGCAATTTGCTGTGGCCACAGGAGCTTGACTACTGGCTGGTGGAGAGCTGGCTGCAGGAGTGTTGGCTGACACCTGGCCGAGTAGAAGGCCTGCCGCGAGGGCAAAGCGACGAATGGACATGTTTATTTTTCAAAAGATGTTATTTAAATGACTCGGAGAATTAAGTTAATTGGAACATGCTCGCACTAAATACTTCCCCTTTTCTGTTGGGTAGGAGTCTGGACCGGCTATTTTCACCACCACGATGTACAAATCCAAAACAAGTCAAAAACAAGCGAATGGAGGCGTTAATGGCGTCAATAGTTTAACTCAAATTCAGGAGAAAAACAAGGAACCGGAGGTTTTCGCCTACGTTAACTTAAGTGCTGGCTTTGTTGTTGTCGGTGTCCCCGTGTTGGACGAGTATGGAAACCTTAAGCGACAATGTATATACGAGGACATTTCCTCTTCATAGCTTCATTGTGGACTTTGGATCTTTACACTCTTTTTGCTTTCCCAGTCCAACTGTCAGTCATTCATTTTTGTTTGTTGGATCAGTCACTCTTTTCCGCTGCTTTCTAATCATACTGTCAATCGTTCAATCCTTTCAATTACAGTCAAAATGGGTTCCTTTCTTGTTCGAGGGTGGATTTTGGCCGCATTATTTGTGCAAACCAGTCTCGCCACGACAATTCTTGCTGAGCCTACTGTGACTCCCACTCCTACTGCTGTGGGGACACACCATAACCAGCATCAGCATCACCACCACAATCACCACCATTGGTCTCATATCCCTAGGCCTATGCCTAGTCGCAAGCCTTGTCCTGTTCCTTCTTCATCAGCAGTTCTCGCTTCCAGCGTGATCCCCACTCCAACTTCGGCCCCTGTTTCTACTCCTTTTACGAAACCATCTGTTGTTGTGTCTGCAACAGACTCTCTTTCAACTGGACTCGGATCATCTTCTTCACTAGTCAGCATCTCGGGGTCTGCCTCTGATAGTAGCACTACAACTGTCGCTTCTATCCCTACATCGACCTCAACTGGAGCACTTCAGTCGAGTGTGGCTTCTGGGTCCTCTACATTGGAGTCGACCACATCAACGGTTTTTTCTACCCGCACCGCTACCATCACCGCGTGCCCTACTACTGTCCCTAACTGCCCTGTCAGTTCAAAGACAACATTTGTGACTACAGAGACAATTCTGGTATCCACTACAATCTGCCCTGTCACTGAAACTGCCGGTCCTACCCAGACAGCACCTGCTTCTCTATCGACTGGAGGTTCTGGTGGCTCAGACTTCACAACTTCCACCATCTATACTACTCGCACTGCCACCATCACCGCATGCCCTTCTTCAGTGACCAATTGTCCCCTGAAATCAAAGACCACACACTTGGTCACTGAAACCCTGGTTGTCTCCACCACAGTTTGTCCCGTGGCAGATGCTACTGTTACCGGCGCCGTGCCTACTAAGCACACTACATCTCCATCTGTCACTGAACCAATTGGAGGTGGCGAGGCTTCCACGCTGACGACATCTATTATCTTCACGACTATCACGTCCACCGTCCTTGCCTGCCCTGAATCTGTGACCGATTGTCCTCTGAGATCAAAGACCTCTTACGCAACCACCGAGACATTCCCTGTCGCAACTACTATCTACCCAGTCGTTGCAAACCCTCAGGCTACCGATGTTATCCCCGGATATCAATCTGGCCCAGTTCACACAACGACCATCATCGTTGAATCTTGCTCCGACGATGATACCTGTACTGGGTACACCAACACTATCGTGATGACCCAGACCAACGCTGCGGAGCCCACCGCGGCTCCCTCTCTGTATACCCCACACCGGGGCTCTGGTGCTGTCTCTGCCTCCTCGACTCCTTCGTGGCTCCACAGCAGCCGCCCTAGTGAAATAGCCACGGCTGCTGTTATTACTCCGACAAGTGCAGTAAGTCCGGTGTACACCGGAGCTGCATCTCTAGGTACTCAATCGTCGTTGATGCAGGTTGTGGGTACTATGATGGTGATTCTGCTGGCGATCTATATCTAGAGACTTGTTGGGAAGATTAGATGTAAAGTTTGTTTGTTTTGGTATTTTGTCTTCACTTTAATATTTTGAATAATTTTGGTTAATTTTGAATCAAGAGGTTCTCACATTCATGACGTGAGTTTAAAGATACAGAACAGACTCGGGCTGGTCGGGGCCATAAGTCTAACTAGGTGACAAATGAGAAGTCGATGGGTGGTGGTAGCGATGCTGGTACTATTGGTGATACTATGAGAGATATCATGGAGTGAATAGTGCTACATGATCATACAAAGATACGAAATTATGGAGAATGCATATAATATAGCACAGTATTTTGACAATTGTCCCAAATTCATCAATAATTCACAATATGTATAAGTAACAGCGAGGGTATATACACGTAACCCCCAAAAAGGTGGTACAAGAGAGTAAAAAAATATACATATGGAAACATAAAAACATAAAAACAAATACAGTCATCTGGCCCAGGCCAGTGGTATACATCACTCAGTAAATTAGCGCATAAGATAGGTAGTCGGCTGATCAAGGATCTCCCGACGAAGATCCGCCTCCCAGAGACCCACCGACGGCTCCTGTACCTGGAGGGTCAAACATGAGAACAAAAACTCGTTGACGCGGTACCATGACAAAGCACTCAACCGACTAGCAATCTTCAGCATACGACCCGTAAACCACGGGCGCGCAGAGGGCGAAGTAGCCGTTGGAAAGTACTGAGAGAAGTCTGGGAGTTCCTCTACCGGGCCAGCGGCAGCAAAGCCGTCGGCACTGGTGGACCAGCCATCAGGAGTGCCGTCTGTGCAACCGAGGAGGGTTTGGAGCATGGCTTTGACGGAGCCATTCATCCCGACTTCGCTGTCGACCAGGGAATTCTCGAGTGTGTCGAGGAAGATTGCTGCGCGCGCTGGGGTGTTACGGTAATCCCACATTGCGGCATTGAGCGTCATCAACGCAGTTAAGCGGGCGACAGTTTGTTTTCGGTCGTCTGGGGTGGGGAATCGGGCGCCTGGGGGTGCGGCGAGAATTTGGCTCAGGATGGATGTTTCTTGAACTGCGGTGTGGCGGGTAATGTATGATGATTGGGGGTTGTCGCGTTGGTATAGGGCGAGTTGTTCACAGCGTCGGAGGAAGTCGAGGAATTCTTCGCATTGGAATTTGGTCTCGTCTACTGAGATTGGTTGTAGGTTTGGTGGGAGCATTGTTCGAGGTTCGGGGCTGGGCGAGACTTCTGAGAAAGCCGAGGAAGCGGAATAGGTGGAATATGGCGGAGAGGGCATTGAATGGGGAACGGAGGTGGGGTGGGGTAGTAACGCTAAAGACTCAGATGAGACTGGGGCATGTTGGTCGTATTCATAGAAGAAGTTAGGCCCGTGGGCCTCATATCCTGGTAAGATGTAGTTCTGCCAGTTGATCATCATACCGATGCGAGTGTTTGCGAATGCAGCAGGACCACCACGAGCCCGTATCATCTCGCGCGCAGCTCGCATGTGAACGGAGCTCATTTCCTTGTAGCCTGGTCGGGGATCGCATTCCTCCAAGGCTGCGGAACTCAGACAGGAAATGATTGCAGCATCGGAGATGTCATTGGGGATGTCGGAGCGGTGCTCCCGGAGCATGGAGGCATCACGATCTCTGCGAAGAAGAGTATTTTGAGTTTCCCCTTTATTATGGAATATTAGTTGCATGTACGAGAATGGTGTTTTTGGGATGGGATAGTACCTTTCATTGTCTCAGGCACAAAGGCCGATGTATAAACGTTTGCTATGGGTGACCGGTAAGGGGTTCCATAGGAGCAGGCCGGCACATCGTTCACAGAGGGGTCAAATACCCTGTGTCCATCTCGACCCAGCTCTATAGGAAGAGCGTTGAATGGGTCGGTTTGCACATCACTCACCATGGTAGTTGGTGATGGCATGTACTGGTATGGCGCCGCGGAGGGCGATGACCATGAGATATTGTTAAAATATAGCTCAGGGGTCGGGGAACTCTGTGAATGTACATCGACAAAGCCATCCAGTGGAAGAGGAAGATCTTGAGATTGGGCAGAAGATGGCCGGAAAGGGGCAAACGAGGGCATATCATCGGATGCAATCAATGAAGGATCCGACGAGATAGGATCCGAAGCAAACATATCGCGGTTGACCTGGACAATGAGGTCTTCTTTGTATGTAACTTGGTTCCTCGTTGATCTCCTTGCTCGAGGTTGGCCGTTATTGTAGTCACCGTCTGGTTTCACTTTCTTCTCTGATTTCCGAACCGCAGCCCGAGTCTTCTTGGGTCTCCCACGTTTTGCTCGCGGTTGTTCCTCTTCACTTTCACTTTGGCGAGCGCCGCCTTTTTTCTGGCGCATATATTCTTGCATAACATGACGCTTCACTTGGGTTAAGTTGGATCGACTATTGTTCGAAGAGTCGATGAATTGCCACCGGACGGTGGATGCGTCCGGCGCATGGCTGGGGTTATCAAGGGAGGATGACATGGTTGCCTGTGTGAGGACAGGAGGAATATATATGTGTTGTCAAAACACAGGAGCCGTTCGTCTCCTTGTGGGGTAAAGGAAGGACAGTATGGAGAAAGTCTGGATATAATCGACGGGGCGAGTCCAAACCGAGTCGAAGGTCCGTTCTTAAAAGAAAAAAGAATCCAATAATAGAACACCCAAGTAACAACGGGGCACTCTCTTCAAACCATGATCTAACGTAAAAAGGAGTATAGTAACTTTTTAATTCAGATAACCAGGGACAGCAGATTAGTTGGGATACTTCTCCACTCGCCCATCGTCTTTTGACGAACTAGACTAGACTGGAATAGCGGCCTTCCAGGATTCTGGTCGACACGTGTGGAGATCAACAGTGCAGCGAGTCAGAGTCAGGATAACTGCGTAGGTGGGATATGCACCTCTTGATAGCTTGGGGGCCAAATGCGCCGGCGTATAGTGGAACTGTGGCTCCAACTTGGGCTTCAGGGTCGATAAGATCATCCTACAGGGGCCATAGACAAAATCAACTGTTTCCTCCATATTAAGCTAGTCTTGATCTATCAAGCCCATATTTTAGAGCAAGTAGATAGGCTCCACCGTCGTCGAATGCGTCGAATCATCAATTCTATGTGCCCGGGTAGACACCCGGCTCTCTACCCGGTCTGGCAATCTGCAAGTTTGCCCTGAGGTTGCCCGTGAGGTTGCAAATTGAAAAAGGGATCGACATATTCCTGGTGAATTGCTATGGCTGTTTCATGCAATCTTTCATGTATTCAACATTGAAGCGGACCCGCGGAACCAGGTATGGATAGAACCGCACGTGTCAAGACCCTCCCCATAGGGTCTCGGGGGAGCTCCGTCCGTTAGTGTCTTGGCAAGTAGAAGCATTGCATGACTTCTCAGGTGTTTGTGATTTGTTGCAGGAAAATCTGCAAGGGGTAATGTACATGGATAGGTAGGTTGAAATCATTTAAATTTTGTTTTTGTGGGGGCTGAAAGGGAGATCTCTGCAGGGGGGAACTTCGGGAAGTTTCAAGTTCAACGGTGAGCTATCTCTGTGCTATTATTATCTAAGTTGATCATCTCGTCTATATTGTATATGTCGCTTGATTGCGCTAAACTTGATGATATTTAGACCATTTTAATGAAGATTAAACACACAACAAATGCTTCTTATATATAAATACACAAGTTTGAAGTGGCGTATAAACGGCTAGAAGTACAGGGTACAGGCTTCAGATCCCAAACCCTAAGCTCTCAATATCACTGACTCAAGTTTTGATTTAAACTATGAGACTATCCCCAATTCTCCGCCCCCACCCTGCCTTTTTACGCTTCCGACTTGCCCTCTTGGGGTCCTTTTTAGTCGATCACCGGCAAATATTCGTCATATTCCGGGTTATCCGTTAAGAGAAAGAAAAAAAAAAAAGAAATTACCATTCGCTCTCTGCCCTACCAATCCAGGTTCATGAAAAACCAATCTACAAAGCGTTCCTGGGTTACCGTAGCCCCCACCCATGAGGTACATCCTCTAGGCTGTTAGTGTGCTCTAGTGGGCGCGTTGTGGCTTCAAAAATACTGTACTGGTCAAGACAGGCTCTACCTAGGCGAATCTGCCTGAGCCACCATTCCGTAAGAGTTTCAGCGTAAGATAGAACTTCACCGGTGTTTCCGGGGCTGCCTTTAACCGGTAACGAAAGGCAATAGAACCCTAGACTATGCAGGGCACAATCACCAATGATGACATTCCCAATCTGGATCTTGCAAAGGACTAGGTTCATAATCTCCTCGTCACTTTGCCGGTCACACGACATACTCTCGGGCATATGCGCTGTGACCCAGCAGAAGTCCGGTAGGGTGTCGTGAGGATCTGCAATTCGGCCCCTGCCGTTCATGAATACACTCGCTTGGAGTCTAGAAGCGAATGCCATTTTGCAAGTTAGAGAAATCCGTTTTGATTTCTCTCTTTTTTTTTTTTTTTTTTTTTGCTTTGGCTGATTGGCGGTGTAAAAATGCTCTCTGTGGATTTGGAGAGGAACGTGAGGGATTTGAGACCTTCTATACGTTAGGAATATCAAGACGGTTTACAATGGCTTTTTTTCTAGTCTTTGACAAAACTCCACAGTAAAGTCTTCTAGAGCTTTGTGAATAGAGTCTATACAGCTCATTTCTCTTGATTTGTCGATGACTTTGCTTGTTTCTTTGTTATTCTACAATGAACATGACATAGTTCTTAGGGGGTCTAAGCTCTTTCGTTCCATTCCTTTCACCCCATCTATGCAGGTGATTCAAGTTTCATTACCCACAGTACTATATACTAGTGTAGATTCATACATCGGTTATGGATTTTTATCTCTCGCCCGTGCATGGTTGCCACTAACGTCCCACAATATGATATCCACAGTGTCAATTGCAATTTTAATGTCTTAAAGATCACAACTAAGAGCATGTGTGCAAATTGAATAAAGCGGGAAGTGACTATCTTCCGGTTGAAGATATGTAGCAAGATGGACCCGCCCCCCTG